CGCATCTTAAGTTTGGTTGTTGTTCCACTCCACTCATGGTCCGAAAAAAGTCCACCGCTCCCACTCGTATGTCAATTGTCATTTCCTTGTATAAAAAACATGTGTATCTATAATCCACGATTTGATTAAGCAATCAAGAGAACTTTGTTTATCAACTCCATCACTTTTACAAAGACGTTGTTCTGTTTAGCTGTAGGTAGTCGTTACCTTGATGGAATCAATTCTTCTTGAGGTTGTGGCAAGAAGATAGAAGTATGCAAACAAATGAACAGCAGAGAGATCTTTACTCATTCTTTTTCCTCCCACACAGAAGGGTGGGAATGCATACATATTTTGCAATGGTCCAAGTATAATAGTAGCCTTGATAGGATTAAGGTTCTCAACTTTGCATATTTTTAGTAGATCAGGGCAAAGTACCAGATGGCATTTCATATTTTATTTGCATGATAACTTATTTTACGCATAAACAATAAAGTTTACTTTTGCATATCCTTCAAAATTGTTGAACCTGCTACGATTATTAGAAAAGTTTTAACCTTATGACTTGTCAGCATTTTGGCTGAACTAAATATTTGACATTGTTGTCCAGGTTGATTTGATTTTGGTTATGCTGTTGGCTTGGTTTAGTTTGGTTTGGCGTACCGGAAATTTTAATGTTCCGGAACTGTAATTTTAAGAACTATGGCGTGCTGATTGTGCGATTATCAGTCGGGTTTATTATGTCATGTTACATGTTCGTTGCATGTTAACACGCTGCGTGTTTTCAATCTATGTGGAAGCAAATATATTCACTAGATTACAAAGTCTGGAACGTTAACGTGAGCCGAATTTTGAACTTGTAAAATGTACCACATATTAGGTTATGCATAATCTTACACACCTAAGAGTCCCCATAAATTGTGGAATAGAGTTGATAAGTATTATAAAAGGGAAAGATGAGTGGCGTGTGCCAGGCTGCTTGGAATGCTCGTTCTAGTTGTGCGAAACCTTTCCCTGTTGTCCGAGTACGAGTTCTTAGTACATCACATCAGTGAGTGATCTGAATGCCCATTGGCCCATTGGACATTTGGTATGTAAATGAACTTTCACTACTCATTAGTTTCCAACATCGTCATCTGTTCGAGTCGATTAAATTGAAGCGACCATCAATAATAATCTCATCCTCCCCATTATAAAATTTTCCTGCTTTTACCAATAAGGCAAATCCCTAGCTCTTAGATACGGCTGACAAGGTTTACAAGTAAAAGTTCATGATAGGTTTCTATATTAGTTTTCGTCATGAAATGTTATCCACATATTTGTGGAACGCATTCAATAATTCAATAATTATTGTAATTAAATCATCAAAAGTCACATTTTTATCAATTCATGGTCCACAAGCAAAAAGAGACAAAGATATATAAAAAATGAGCAACTAGCTGTTCAGCACTTTCAGCAGTTGTCAAATATTAATGGTTGCTTACTGCGTACTCACAAAAGCCTTGGAGGACTTACTAGTTGAGGAACAAAGCATATAAAATTTGCAGGACAGAACCGCTAATTATTCATTTTTCCATATTTGGATTGATGATTTGGTAACATTTATCCTTCTTTCTTTATGGTGATTGGCGATAAGAATATTAGAGTATTTGGTGAAGGCGAGTGATGGCCAGTCTCCACTGTTGATGCAATTTGCACAAAATTGTCCTACTTTTTAAAAATATTTTTAGTCGCCACTCATCAGATCATGATGTTACTGACATTTGTCGATTTATTGCTTGCCTTGGATTAAGGTAATTGAATGTCACGATATTTGAGGATCGACATACACGTGAATTTTAGTGTTTTTTCTTCGTTAAACCAATGTACACTTGCTGCTCTGTTTAGATCCTTAATGGTAGACAGAAATAGCGTAAGTGTGAACATTTATGTGTAGTTGTTGACTTTTGTTTGTACTGCATACTTGCGTGGAAACAACATGCACTACAAAGTGCAATTAGTTGATGCGTTGATCGAAAGTGAAACGCAAAGTCATAATAATAAAAGAAATGCAGCTTTTCAAGTTTAAGTGCATCATTATTAGATGGAATACATCTACATCAACATATTTTTGTCTACGGTTCCGCAGACTAAAATACAGCACAACTGACGAACGATGCACAATGCTCATTCATATGAATAATTCATTCCCAGAGACTTATACAGAGAACTTTGGGATTTGTTCATTTTCATCTCCTCCTATTTACTGCAGCAGTCGGAGATGAGGAGACGAGGAGAGTTTAGTCTCGCGTTCTGTTTAATTTGTAGCATTATGTTGTCGCAAAAACGAGTAAAAGAATGCAATGAATGTATGTTGTCTCTGCCTTGTAAAACATTGATTGGTTGGGGACATAGTAGATTCATCTTTCCGACGGCGAGGGCACATTGTTCCTCGATGGATGATGCATTTTTATCCTTTTGTTCTCAGTCAAAGTCCGCCTTAGCGTAGCACGATTTTCGGAATTCCGATTTATGTGAAGTTGTAAAGCGACGAATGAGGGTTACTTTTAGCCTGACAGGCCATGCTGGAGGCTTACCAAGCTTACTGCCAATAGTTACAGTTACATTCCTTTTAGTGAAAACTTTTACGAAACTGTAATCTGCACAAACTTGCCAAAAGCCAGTCAAATTCATACAACCATGAGGTTTGCCTAACATTACCCTTCATATTCAGTTTTGACATTGATATTGTTTTTACCAGATTGGTTTGTTCGGCTGAGAGAAAAGTGTATTGATTTTCTTGCAGTGTAATTAATGCATGAAAGAATCTCTGTAAACGACTGAAGAACTGACTCACCACATCTTTTGCAACGGAGTCAGTGCAACTTGTTTCCTGGCCTCCAGACGTTTTTTAAAGGATTATATGTTAGCATTCCTTGAAAATAGCTGCAGTCATCTTTCACGTCTTAAATATAGCGGATTTGTGGTGGTAATTAGTCAGCCGGAGAAAGCAATTCCCTTTTCCACCTTATCAGCCTGCACGAGTTGTATACTTGCCACATTACGGAAAGGTGTGCTCTGTCTCATAGTCATTTCAGTTTGGCATTCTTTACCGTGTCAAATTTTCATCTCACCATTGGAATCAGCCCTAATGTCGTCGTGGTTGTATTTTACATTAGTCTGTATCTATGTGCACAAGTACAATAGAAGGATCCGAGAAGACAACAATCATTTTTAAACTTGGCTTGTTAGTGGGACATTTCATTTAATGTGTGTAGGTGCAGCTACATTCATTGTGTTCACCATTCAGAGACGAATGTGTGGATATCGCATCACTTGTAGTCAGGAGGACAGGCATTTAATCTCCCTCAGTTTTACCAATGAAACAAAAGTCAATATATATAATACGAAAGCGAGAGAGATGTGTGATAGGAAAGATAAATAAAATAAATGAAACAGACAAGTTGCAGTGTAGGCGGTGTGCTGTTTCAGTCTCCGTTTATTCATTCAGTTCTATTAAATAGTTAGTGGTTTCGTTACCTACAATAACGACGAGTAGTAATGTGGTCTAGGTGGCTGGTACAACTTTCAGTTTTAGGTTTTGTTTGAGATTTGAGATTCATACACAAATTCGTCAGCAAATACGAGACCTTTATACATTTCATCTAACTCATCCCTTCTTTAATGTTGTTCTGCGGCTGCTTGCCAGTTACACCTGCATAGTAATTTCTTACGTTATGTGATGGGGTTGAGTATGGGGATGATTGTACATAAAGCATAAGATACAATAAGATCAGGTGCAGTGCAACACAGTGATTGCATGTGGATAATGGTGCGTCGTCTCCCACCCCAGCAGGTTTCCTTTAACAACGATAAATTGCCCATCCAAAAGTATCTTCCTCCCATCCAAAAGTGCTGCAGTGAAATCTTATCCTAAATTCATGGACGCACGTTGTTGTGTTGGATGGCTGTTTCCGTCTCTTCATATCCTCAGCCAGCAGAGATCATTTTAAGACAAGCAGTATTGTTGGAGAATCAAAACGAGATTTCAAGATCTCGACTAGACCGCATAACATTCGAATTTCGAAAGCAATAAGTCTGCTTTCATTTCTTTGCAAAATAAAACTAAAATACTTCATGCCTGCTGGTGTCCATTTGTGCTTAAAACTCCTCCAGATTATTGTGTTTTCTGTCTGAGAGGAGGAGTGGGTTCAAATTAAATTGAAGAGTAAAAGCATGAAACACGACAATAAAGTTTAAATATCTTCTCTCCTTTTGGAGTTTTGTAATTTGCTTGTAAAAATATAGTTCAAGTTCAACGAGTGAGTTTTGATGATCAATATAAAATCAACCTGATCTGATTTCGTTTACATCTTACAGTGATGTGTGCTATTTCTCTGTTATTATTAATTACTGTTGTTTAAATAGTAAAATATAAACCTCGTTCAGTTATAACCTAAAATTGAGTGAGTTATGGTCCCACTGGGTTAAGTAAAAATGTGTTGCATATCGGCGATATCAAGTCATTATGTTGAAGTGATCGACTGAAATTGCTTCGAGTATATGCTGATAAGTCTGTATTTGGTCCTCTCTTTAATATTGCACCTAAATAGATATATTTTATGTGAAAATAAAATAATGTATTTACACCTCTCATTTATCACAGCCCTATAACAGAGTGTAAGATACTGTTGACTGTAGATTTACTCTACTGCAGATCCAAATGTGACCATGTTCAAGTTGTGACTACACATAAATACGGCGACAAATTACTTTTTACCGTGACCCTGCATCTTAATACGGATTTATTATGATTGAGAGATTTTGAAGCTTGAGGTTGTACTCCTTTTTTACATGCAATAATTTTACAACCGTAAGATTTATAACTGTTTCGGGTATTAAATTTTCCTTTGTTGTTTGTGCCCTCTTATTAAATAATATATTTAAAAGACTCGGGCCTTAAAATTATGACAATTTTTTGTCGTCTATAAAATATGGAATTGAAGTAAAACCCACCTATCGATGTAATTTTCAGTCAAATAAAAGACCTGGTGGGCAAAATGTTAAGTCGGTATTTAGTTGAATGAACGAATTCCTCATTTACCTCGCGCTTAGTCATAAATGAAATGACAGATTCATCATCCTCCTTAAAAAATGGGAGCAAAAAAGGACGCTACAAGTTGTAAACGAAATCAGCCAGATGTATGAATTTAAATGTTAAAAAAGTCCTGAAAACGTCAGGTGCCGACTCACCAGCGAATAATATGAAGAAAATAACATAATCATAATAATAATATTCCTTTCTCATGCATTGTTGCGGCGTTCCACTTGAATTCCGTCTTGTGAAATTGACTCACATTTTCGTCGAACCTCGTCTACTCTGCTGCTGACTGGATTGACACTTTACAACGACGTCTCATCTCCTGACATGGTCGACAGGACACGGATAAAGTTATTTCTCTCAACTTGTGCACATCGTGAAATCAGTCGCCTTTAGAATACCATAGAATTAGTAATCATCACATTATTAGAGGACAACTATTCATAGTTTTTTCGTACAGCCATCCGAATGAATTGACAATATTTTAAACACACACTCGCCTTGTTTGTTTGATTGGAGTGAACTTTTGGCACACAAGTGCCACTCGTAATCGGATAGGATGGTGCAATTGACCACGAATAATTCAAGTGGTGGTGGTGGTGATAACACAGAACGCAGGATTAACACCAACCACAATAACCACGATGTCAATGCTAATAACAGCAGCAGGTCTACTACCAAGTCTACGAGGAATACTATAAGCCATGAAAATACCATTTTCAAACCGCAAGTAAGATCTTGATGTTTTGCACTTCTTACAATGTTGATTTTAATTGGATACAAAAGTCACATGTGGATTATTGTAGACAAGCGTGTTAACCCGTCCAAAGGACGGGTTCTAGACTCCGTGTAGGGGGGTGCCCAAAGCCAAAAATCCAAACTTTAATACTTCCCCTAAGCTTCTGTCCATTTCCATACTACATACATAATAGTGAGGGTTTGTCCAAGTCAAAATACATTTCAATTTCCCTGGTTGCACTACAATTTAATTCTCCCTTCCTCCCTCAGGTAACACTACAATAATTGCCCCCTTCACCCTTTGCCCAGATTATACTGCAGTTTAATTCCCCCTCTGCCCTGCTTAGGCTACAATTTAATTCCCTACTTCCCTCCTTTGCCCAGGTTACACTGCAATTTAATTCCCCCAGTAGCAAATATCACTCTATAATTTAATTCCAAAGTTATATAAGTTGTATGTATGTTGATTTATGTCGGTGGTCTTGCACGATTGCTTGACTTTAAGTATCTAGGTAACGTTAGTCTCCCTTAAGGGTAACTAGGCACTAAAAGTCAAGCAATCGTGATGGTCTTGGTTGATTTAGTGGGAGGAGATAGTCGTAAAAAAACTTGGAGGAGCTGTGGCAATTATTTAAAACCTGGCAATAACAGTATAGTTATGAAATAAATTTATTTGTTTGAGGTAGCATGACACGACAATTTAGAAATGATTAACTTGAAGCTGTTTATTTGCTTTACTGATTAATATGAGGAAAAATTGAATTGAAATGCTTTATATTTTAAATCCAACCACTTTAAATCGGCTTTATTAAAATAAACATTCCTGCAAAATACACTTAGCTCTTGGGGAGTTAGTGGAAAAATCCAAATATAAATTCATTTTAAATAACATGACGTATTTATCACTTGCTTTATTTAAAAAGAACTATTTGTTAAATATGTACGTGTGTATGTTGTCGTTGTATACGTGCTATATTGGTTGGGTTAGTGGGAGGAGGAGGTGGGCGTGAAAACGTAGAGAAATGTGTTATTGCTGGTCTGTTTATTAGATCCAGAGCGAGAGAGAACGAAGTGTCGCGGTAGAGTCATCATGGGTAGGCTCAATGGTTCAAGCGGAGCATGCAACTTAAGTTTGATCTCTTAGTCAACGACGGGGCAAGTTGCATTGCGAAGACGGACCGACGCAGGCAGGCAGCGACTTAACACTAACGCTTTATTAGAGTGGATTTAACAACAATCATTTTCAACAACATGCATATTGTGCTGCTTGTTTCCGATTCCGGTTAGTTGAAATGAGTGACGGAAGTCTTATGAACAACAATGAGAAGATAGTTCGTTAACAAAAGACGAATATTATTATGCATGCATGTATTGTTTTCCTACGAAAGGTCTCATCCTAAATACTTGGTTATGTATTATTTCTTACGAGTGATATGTAAACGATGGAGGATGTGCCCAAGTCAAGTGCTAGGGCGTGTGAAGCATTTTTGTGTAATAAGCGTTGGGGAATTGTTTAATTTAATCCCAAAATGGTGGCTCTTACATATGCACGTGCTTCATTATAAAAACTCATTGCTAACGTCTTCGTCCTATTCTCATTTTCCAACAACGTTGTACAGAAACGCACCTTTGATTATGAGTATACTTCTCATCCAGGTTTGGTGAATGTAGGACTGGTCAGATGAGAAGCACTTTTAGTCCATGTTTAAAAATCGTGACTAGATATTTGACTTTGAATCTGTTGTCAGTAATTAATTTAGCACGTCTTAATTAAACCTGGAGGATGCAAACAGTTGTATGTATAATCATTATTAAAGAACTGAGTACATTTTATTTTGCTCATATTAATCATTAAACTAATTTTATTTGCTATTGAATTGACAATAATTAAAGAAAACTAAAAAATCATCATACTGTTTCAATGAAACTGAAATTGATCAACTCACTTGATCAATTTGCAGTTCACAAAATCATGCAATGAGTGGGCACTGAATCGTGGGTATAAATTTTAATACGCAATTACAATCTCTCTCGGACGAACAACAGACAACCATTATCTAATTTTTCGAATCGTATTTCGTTTAAATTCAATTCTTTCAGGCGTCTGCTCTTTATCACACTTCATATTTATATATTTATCAATAATAACGAAAAACATTGCAAACATGCAGGATTTTCTAGGACGGTCTCTGGCTATTGTAAAAATCCACTACATTTTTTGGCAACTTATGGACACAAATGTAGTTATAAATACCTGTTGACATGCTATATTTTTCGGGTTTATTATTTGCAAGCACATCCATTGCGACTATAGCAAGTTTAGTACATGCTGAAATGGTGCAAAGGAAACCGTCTCTAATGAGTGTGTGGTAAAGCAAATTGACTAATACAAGGTCACACTGTGCAAATGTCTTGAAGCAAACAAAGGTTGAAACATTGTATCCCATCTTCGTACGTACATACGTAATATTTTATCAGAAGCAAAAAAAAAAGATGCGACAAACTGTGAAAGTTTACAGAATTAATTGACGTGGTGAGGACGAAATTGGTTGGAACATACAACTCATCATTCGTACATGTCATCTTATAACTTTCACCCGTAAATATGTGTTTTGAATATCATCCTAATAATATTTCACCTAAATGTCCAGACAAATCTGATATCACATCTTTCTAATCCTTCTCTCATGATTATATCCAATTTATGAACATGGTTTCCGTAATTGTAAAACTGGATAATAAAAAAAATATTGTTTAATTCCAGGCGAAACAAGGAGCATCAATTAAATGGCTGGTTTCATGGGGTAAGTTGCAGCATGATTTATGATTGCTATATTATGCTTTGATAAGTCATATACTAAGTAAATATCAATATGTGAATAATTTGTGATTCGTCTGTTGTTGAACACAGCCTACAACCACAAAACCCCTGAAGACCTTGCAGAACCATTTTACAAAGATAATGCGGTAAGCGATCCTATTTTTCTTAAGGTTTCTTGCTAAATGTGCCTGATGTACATACATTGAGTACACACAGACATTGGTAAAGTAACGAACAGTAGATTGGTTAGGAGACAGTAATTGTGACTGACAGTTCCCTGGAGAGAGACGAAGCTGAAAGTTTTATAAGAACAAGTCTATAGAAAAGCTACCTGTTTTTTCCCTATTTTCCTAACGGAGGTGTTCTTGAGGAACTATTTATCAACGGGATTGCCTCCCATCTCCGACGCTATCCATTAAGTTAATAATTTAATGGAACACTTTCAGTTTTCCATATATTCACCTGCGGTAATATGTCACGTCAAGTGTATAGTGGGAGATTCTCCCTTACGTTAATTAAGTTGGGTTACTTTCATTTGATTTGTGTGGAATATATACACACAAACCAAATTGGTTACTTGGATAGAATGGATATGTGCATGGAACAGTGAATATGTTGTGATTAGAAGGCGCAAAAATGAAGGATTTTTATTTGCAGGGGGAGGACCATTTAAAGCCGTACGTGGTTCAAGGTCTGTCTGATGCTGAGTTGTACTGTTTGGCGTTATGCAACATATATGCGGATCCGAACTATAGCCAACTAAGTCCCTGGGGAATAGTCCAAGCGTTGGCCAGGAAGGGAGTGTACTGCCAACAATTGCCCAGCGACGTTCAGCTCACAGAGACAGTTCTCATTCAGAACACACCTCTTAAAATTGTATGCACTCCTCTGTAATTAGTGTACCATGAGTAATTATGTTATTTGTTTGACGATAACTTAATTGTCACACTTTTTCAGAGTGCCCATATGATCATCATTGAAGCGATGATGGTTTTACAAGTAAAAGAGATTATTTCCAACGATAGGATTGTGAACACTGTGCAAAGATATGGTCCAGCAGTACACCCACGTAAGAGCAAATCGGCAACAGTTCAATAAGTTTAATTTAGCTCTAGCTGTAGCTCTAGTTTTTGTTCTTGCGCAGCAGTAGAAAATTAATGGTCAATCTAGCTTCTAATTTCTGTATTTCCTATTCTACTATATGTCTAATTTCGTTTTACACATTCAATTTATTAAGCACAAACTTGGCAATATTGTTGTTAACATATCATCAATCTCATTAATTGATTGTGTCATGTAGTATATAATACACTACATGAATACTTTCATCTAATGCTACCGATTTTCTCTACTGCTGCTTTTTGTCATTTTTCTCACTCTTTCTCTATCCGTACGTCTCGTCATACTTTTAAGCTAACAAGGCTGATTTTAACATGCTTTATTTTGGGTGATTTCTTTAAAGAAGGGGTTTGGTTGGGTGCAGGGGAAATGCCGTCTGACACGGAAGAGGCTCTCTTGCTTTGGATCAACCGTGCTGTCCTCGCCATCAAGGAGTACATTCAGAATAACAATGCTCATGAGCACAACCTGGTAATTATTACTATTAATTTATTTGATACAGATCAAATTATGCATTTTTTAAATGATGTCCCTTTTATGTAGTCATCTATCCAAGTAGAAAGCTGGCAACAGTTACCTCTATTCCAAGATCTCAGCGATTTAGCTGACGGAGGTATGTCACTGTTGCAGAATAGCATTAAACGAGATTATTAGGAAAATTACAAAGCTAAATATCTCATAATGTTAAATAATTTTATGATTTTGCAGTTGGACTCTGCTCCCTATTTGCTTTCTACTGTCAAACCGAACTGAGATTATCGGAAATTGCCATTCCTCTTCCGGGAGAAACCTTAAGTGTCCCTGACTCGTAAGTAAAGCGCATTTTTATGTTTGCTCAGTAGTTTAACTTATAAATATATTTCAATGACGAAAGTAAAATATAAATAAAGGCTATGCAAAATTCATAATTTTACAGCTTGTGGAATCTCCAATTAGTCCAACGGGTGTGCAAAGACTCTTTACCATACAACGCTTGCCATTTCGCCCTCGAGGATATCCTCTACCTCCACGAATCCATGAAACAAAACATGTTAAACTTCCTAGCTGACATTTTCAGTCAGTTAGAACTTCGGCCGTCATCCAGCGTCAAATTACTGGGGTCTCATCACATTTCTATCAGACCAGGTGAGTCACGGTTATGGTTGCATGATTTTTCTGTTAAGCCGAAAATGATTGGTTTGGTGGGTTGAAAGACAAATGTATGCAACCATATACAATACACATAAGTTTGCTCCTCAGTCTTCATTCATAGTGTTGTCGACTTGGCGAGAATGGTCGTTTGGAATGAAATGCAGACGCAATAACTACATATCTATCTTGATGATGCCACTGGTTGGTTGTGAGAACTAACTTGCGTAGATTAGATATGATATCCTTTAAAAAATAATGCGATAAATTTCTTCCTTTGAAGAGAACTAACTGCTGTATTAGAAATAGTCAAGGCTGGCAAGGAATAAGAAGAATGTAATTTCGTTCGTACCTAAACTGAATGTAACGGAAACCTATGTTGCTTGCTGTGGTGTGGCTGTAGACCAGAACTTCCGCTAAGTTCACACAACTTTACGTTCAGGTTCTTGCTTTCTGCACCAGTTTCCGATATCAAATGCCTTGGTTAATATATTATTTCGATTGTAAAACACACATATTTGCATTATTTGCAACATTATTTCCATTCTTTTGGTTTTTGTGTAATTTTTCAAACTGACCGTCAGACTAGGACAAACGGAAAATGTTTTGCAATAATAGTGTTTTCATACATACATACTACACATTTTTATCAATAGTTTAGTTAAAAGTAATGTTTAATAATGTGCTCGAGAAGTTAGACTTATTGTTGATTGTGCTATATTTGACTGTTGTTTTGTGAACGTGATGATTTATTTCTTGTCATGTGTAAAAATATACATATATTTGGGAGACACGTATTAATCTTATAAATATGTGTTTATTTTACATTTCACAATTAACTCTGATTCGGAGCTGGTCATTTTATGGTCATTAAGGGTTGACATCAGACGGCGTTCGGCTTCGAAGGGGTTATCTTCATCAACAGGCTCCAACTGTTATTCCAGATCTAAGACCATCTCTTTATAAATATGAGCCATCAACTTCAACTGCTTTTTCAGGTTCGCAAAGCAATAGGTCAATTTTCATGAAATTTTAAATTTATCTGTTTAAATCAAAATTATTAAGTTGGTTGATGCTTTAATTTTACTTTGATTAAGTTTTTTCCGTTGGAGTTTCTGTTCTGTTCTGTTGGGATGCAATCACAATTAATATGACACACTTTCCGGCTTTTCTGCTGCGAGTGTTGAGTGAAATAATTTTGGTGTATCGATTATTGTTATTATTTGTCTACCATTTAATTTTACAAGAGTATTATATGTTAAACAACTCATTACAGTTGGATGAGTAGCATGAAAAAGTTCAGAGGGCCCTGAATGTGTGTGATTTTTAGAAATGTTAAAAATAATTTTGCATGATGTATCTTAACAGACCGGAAAGGAATGAACTCGCGTCCACAATCTGCTACGTCAACTCCACAAAGAAGACAGAATTCCAATAGTGATAGACAGGATAGGAATCGAAAATCTACAACACTAAATATATTTGGTGACACTCAGACTCAGAGCAGTGGTAAAAAATCCCCATCAAACTCGTCTGTCGTTTCTGTGCCTATAAGAAGAACTCCTCAAGAGTACAATGAAAAAGCTCAGTCTGACAGATCAAATAACAAGGAGCAAAGGTGAGCATGGTCAGCCAATACCGAATGAAATTAATTTTATATTTATCTATAATTTGACATGGATAGATTCTAATAAAAGTCACAACACATGGCTGTCAAGTTGAGTTGACAGCCATGCGTTGTGACAGTGTCTACTTTATCTTGATATAACCCTTTCCTAATTGTTCTTGCAGATATTATGCTCACTCCAGGTCTAGTGATGACTCTGAAGATTTTGTAGTTCACCGACACAGGAACGTTCCAACACTGTCGCAAGTAATTCGTTCCGTCTCCCCGTCATCTCAAGACGAACGTAGTAGTCCGGCAAGTCGTATGTCAGTGTCTCGAAGCATTTCTGCAAACGACGAACCGGAAGTTCCTGGCGCTGGTAGACCCAGTAACTGGAATGCGAACAAAACAACCTACGCTGGCAGAAGATCACGAAGAAATTCCATTACCGAAGCTGACTCTCAATTAACCGTAGAGAATTTTGGTGGTTCGCAGGATAATTTGAACAAAATTGCAATTACTCGTAATCCTGACAAGCAACCTGCCATTGTGACGAGTGAAACATCATCTCCTTTTAGACATGTTAGGCGACAGGCGTCACAAGAACCCTCAGATTATTATGCAAACGATTCCATCAAACCTGCAGCAGGCAGTATGGACCAAGCGTATCATGAAAGTCCTTATAACAGACGTATTGATAAAGACGAAGGTTCCCAAAGACTGAATAATCCTCCTCCTGGTGGCGACGTTACTTTTTATGGTAAAAAGAAATTTAATCATTCGACAATGTATGACGACAACAACCAGAATGACTACGACGTGGACCGACGACATGAACCTCAAGAGCAAGAGAATCGTCGCTTGAGTCAATCAGGAAGCCAAGGAAATGTTACCGTGTATGTGATGGGTCAAGAGGGTATCGCTGGGGATAGGAGTAGTTTTCATGGTGAGGAAAAAGAAGAAAATATATGTATATTATACAACAATTAAAATGGATTTATGTAAAATTTTAAATCCTCTTGAGTTGATTGTCAAATATTTTTATTTATTTTGCCAGAATCACCTCAGCGGAGTACTAGCATGTCCAATCTTTCGCGACTCTCGGATATGCAAAATAAACCCGTCAGCATAGTATACCTTGGGAATAATCCCCCCGCTTCAGCGACCACAGTCAACGATGGCCATTCATACAATGTCACTAGCAGTAATGGGTGGGACAGATCTCGGACACTGCCTGCCGCCACCGATTACCACACAATGTCATCACCCTCAAGAGATTCATACACCTCCTCAAACTCAAATACTCCCCTTCGGTCTCCGTATCATCAGTCGCAGCAGCAATATCGACAACCTCCTACTTCCGCACAGTATAATACTCTATACAACAATCGCCAACAACAACCATATGACTCACCCGGGTACAACCATAATCAGCACAGCGAGGGCGAATATTTACATGATGACGACAACGAAACCGAAGAGATTGCTGCACAAGGTGAGCACAAATGACACAAATCCCGTGCTCAAATTTAAAATCAGGAAATATATATGTTTAGTGGCGGATGATTATAATCACTTTGCCCATAGTTTGCTTTATACTCTTTTAAATCTTGCTCAATATAGTTGCTGCAATCAGGCAAAAGCTGGAAGAACGAAGAAAAAGAATTGAAGCAGAAAAGTCAAGATTGGAAGCCGTTGCATGCAAACAGACGCACAAACTTGGCAAAGCTGCTTACTTGAAGGCCAACCTTAGTAAAGTAAGTCCCATGATTTTTTTGGTTATGTTGATAATTGTACTTCTTGGTTGTCTTTGCATAACTATATGAATTTGTCTTGCTAATTTTATACAATCTTGTGAAAATTATTGAAATATAAAAAAACGCTGGGGAAAATTTTGAATATTTGACTTAAAAACTTGCGGTTGTGGGGCTTAAAGGGCAAAGGCCAAGATGAGGTGATGGGATCACAGGGATCATCAAATCTACTGCGTATTGATGTCGGGGCAGCAAGGAGGAAACAACTTACACTTCAGGTTTGACTAGCCTGGTCATAGAAATAATTTTAAATGTGCATTATTCGTGGCATGACAGCATAGTCATTTTTAGCTTATAACTTCCACTAAGATAAGTAGAACCGTAGGCACGCACACCTACTGACATGTTTACATACACAATTATTATATATACAGGTCTTGTGTTGTATTTATTTTATTTTATTTTATTTTATTTTATTTTATTTTAGTACAGTAGTTGCTTATACAAAAAGAGTTGCTCATATGCATGTTATAATTCTGGAAAAAATCGTGTGCATTATTTAATTCTGCTCATTATTCATAGGACTTGGAAAGTAAATGGTTGACAAAAACCGACCCGGAACCATGTCGCACTCCTGAAATCGAAAACATGGATGTAGAAACCTACCAGCAGTCACTTGCCAGGTATTCCATATAGCTATGTCATTGTCATTATTATGTCTGCTAATAACTGTGTTTGTATTTTATAGAATGGACACCAGCTTAGTGGAGCTCGAGTCGGACATTAGCCGGTTAGCTATACAACATGAAAAGATCCAACGACAATTTTTCTTGCATGGTGATCCGCCGAATGACTCTGCAAGGAGCAGGAAAAAAGTGCCAAGCGGTCCTTCTATGCCTCCTTCATCTGGCAGATCTCAATGGGGTGCCCCTAAACCATTTGACTCCAGTTCATCGGACGAATCTACTCCACGTGGTAGTGCCGGTGGAGGAGGAGGAGGTGTTTATAATGGAGATTCTAATCGAGGAAGACCTACGCCAAGAAGCGGTTCTAATAGTATCAACTATGCCAGTCCATCCTTTCGATTACATTCCAATTCGGAGACGCAAGGGAACCGACTGTTCTCGAATACAAGGTATTCAATTAAATTCAAATTATTGATAACATATTTCTCAATCTTAGCAACTTCCCATAATGTAAGAAAAATTTTATATTCAACACACACAGTTAGTTAGGCCATATGTACGTGCACATGTTAGTAGAGCCATACATTTTTGATGCCGCAATTACTTGTCAACCTTGCCCAGTTACTATAGGAGTTTCAAAGTACCTCGATAAGCTTCGTCACTGTATATTATATTTTATTTCTTTCGATAGTTCTACTGCAAAATTATTAATATTATTTATCGTGCTAAACTTAATTAATAAACAATGTGGCAATGGTATTATCTCAGTCTAAAACATATTCGCAGTGAACAAATCGAGCGAGCCCTAGAATCGGAGAAGCCAACTCCACCCCCACGACAATCCAGAAATGTATACCATGCCCCACTACCCACTCCTCCTCCAGACGACGATATGGAGCCACAATCTGTGTCGTTTGTACAAGACGATGCTGTTCCAATTTCCAGTGATACGACATCTTTGTCCAGTAAAAAGTCATCCCTTCACCAAATTACTTCTGGATCGAAAACGTACGTATATCGTTTTTTAAATTTAAAATCCAATTTTATTACAAAGCTATTTTATTTAATGTTTTAAATTTTGAAGGTATCGTATCACTCCAGAGAGCGGGTCCCCACCCAGACCTCCTCTGAGACCAGAAAAACTGTTTTCTCGAGGTTCAGAAGCACAAGGTATTTGTATTTCTTTATTTATACGCAAAACATAAGATGAACCGAGCGAAGATTACAATATCTATTTTTATTTGCTTTTTAAGGAGAACATTCCATTACCTCGTCTGATGAAAATACATCAATGAACGAAAGAGGATTTTACATTACGTTCGATAATGAAGGACCCAAAAGACCTAAGCCCCCTTTGAGAACAAGATCCCCTGGAAAACGTAGAGATGGAAGTTCTGATCGTAATTCTGCCCCACCTCGTGACCTTACCACCGAATACATTCAATCCATTGTTGACCGAGTTCCCATTCCAGTCGGAACCGATTCTGAGGAAGAAATGCATAACGTTAGAAGACGAGAGAATAGACACGATTCTGAAGGACCTGGTGATATTGCAACTGGGGGTGAGCTGGTGATGGACGAGAAGCGTCAACTCGATTCGGTTCGTATACACATATTTACTTTATGACGAACTCAATAAACATAAATCACTTAATTGCCCATATGATTTAATTATCTGTAATATCTGTAATATATTTGTTACCACGCACGAGATTATATTGCTGTCTAAGTTCGCTTTGCTTTTTGTTAATTTTTATTCACGCAATACAATTTTTATTTTTCTCGACCATCATAACTTTTAGGAAGAGATGTATGAAATGGAAAAGAAGAAAGAACGCATTTTGCTGCAATCCTTGAAAAGACGAAGAGTTGTTGAAGAGCTCAGACAGAGAAAAGAAACCGAACGGCAACTCAAGTTGGAAGAGGAAGAAATGAAGCAAGACGAGAAGCTCCGAAAGAAGGAAGAAGAGAAAGCTAGACGACAAGCCATTTTGGAATCATACCGTTTGAAGAAACAAGAAGAGATGGACAAAGATGTTAGTTGGTTGAGAACAAAGCTTATTTATTTTATAATTTCTATTTGTATGTACTTGTATGAGCTATGAGCATGAGCCCAAAAGTTTTTTTTATTCTACAGCAAATTATATGTATATTACAATTTCAGAGTAAGGGCTGGGAAGTACAAGAAAATAGTACTAAGAGATTCATGCGTCCGAAGTCTACATCAAATGTGGGTCCTCGTCCACGGCCAAAAACCATTCACCTTTCTGAAGTAGACTCCCCTGGTGCTGGCCGAACTGGTATTTATTTTAGTTCAAGCTTGGAGTTTTCGTGAGATGAAGGAATTATAACTACAGAGCTTGATTTTTGCAGGTGTGCTACGTCGAAGCGATAGTCAAAATTCCAGCACAAGTCTTGCAAAGTCTTTTGGAAAACGTGGATCTTCAAATACCTTGTACTCAGGTAACTGCTAATCTATTTTTATCGTCGATACAGGCAGGTTAAAAAAGACGTGTGGATTTGATACACTCATTTTTTCCGGTTTGCTACACGTTTATTATTTATATTTATTTGTGTTGGCTGACGGTCGTTTTTGCATGGTTTTATTTTGTTTAATACATTATCGCTCAGACACTGGCACGGGAGGAGGTACGAGGTCGAGATCAAGCGTTCGCGATCCATGGGGATCTACTTCATCCTTAAACCAAGGTACACTCAATGTAATATCCACACCCCGTCCGAACACGTCGGGAGGAGACAACATTGCATGCAATAATCCAAAATTTTATTTACTTTGATTTTGGATTTTGTAATAATCCATTGATAATGAGCATTGTGTTAGTACTGCACTTTTGCATAATGTGCACTTGAGTCTTATTATTCTAATGCTCACTGTTGCTCACCTTCATTGCGATATACATACATAAATACATATGTGTTTTGTTTGCATGTTCTGCATGTTTATCAATTTGGTTTTCTTTTGTTTGCATTTCAAAGACAGTAGACGTCGAGCCACAAGTAGTACATATGACAGAGGATCACGAAGACGAGATATGTCCACTTCTCGGTTGGAAGGTAAATTTGAACAATGTTTGAGGATGACATGTTCCTAATTACATATTGAACAAAGTTGATAAATACCAGCAAGGTATAATTTATGTTAATTCAATTTCAAGGATGTATTTAACATAGTTAGCAAAAGTTGATAGTAGTGGGGCGGATGAGCGTAAACTTATTGTTAGTAATGTCAGTAAAGTTTTAGTTTTAACGACGATCCATCGTGAAGATTTTAAGAATTATTTCAATTGTGGAACATTTTAACAAAATTTAATTATTTTGATTATTTCTGCTCAAATTTTAAGCTCGCTCACGTCGAGACACTTATCTTGGCTCGCAAGAATCCTTAGGCCATCACCGAGTTAATTCAACGTCATCACTTTTGGACGGTTAGGGTTTTTAATTTTATGGGTTGAAGGGCAATGGTAGCTTCTCGTTTTTGACGTTATTATTTGTGTATAATTTCTGGGGATTAATTCTAAGGTAGAATATACGTAACAAGGAGAATAGACGTTAGTTGCATTTATGTTGCATGCTTTTGCTTATAATAACGGAACGCGGAACTCTTGGGGTTAAGAGCTGGGAAAGTAATACGCTTTTAGAGGGAAAGCATTATGTATATGTGAGTGAACCTGAAGAATGAACTAATAATACTGAAACTAATACATATTTATGTACATAATACATTTTCTCGGGATGGAAGATTTCTATGTAGAAAATGCTTCTATGAATTGCTTTGCCTGCAGGAGTTGACACTGACAGTAGTACTGGTACTGGTCGTGGTGGTGCTGGTCACCGCGATTCTGATTCTGGTGTTGGGACGTGTTCACCGCCCCAGCGAAGATCGCCCTCGCCAAGAACAATTTCGAGATTCCGCCCACAACCTCAGCCTCAAATTCCGAAAAGGGTTCAGTCTGCTGGCCCGCAGCCATCATCCGGTCAGCAGCAACAACATCCTTCATGTTCGCTTCCTTCGCCTTCTGGCGCTGGTAAACTTAGAGAAGCCTGTATGTGTATATATTCATCCATATATATTCACCCATTAACCTCGCTAGAAAATTTAGCCCTTTATATATTAATTCAAAATTTTAGTCACTCTTGTTATCCTATATATTTCACCCATTACATTAATGTGTACATACTTTATGTCTTACTCTAAAACTATGTCGTAATCCTAAATATTCTTGTGCTGCTTGGGTACATGTAAATTTTTGGGAAATCAAGGAATGTTTTGAAATTGGGTTTATCATTACAGGGCCTGGTTCCCTGCCTCCAGGTTTGATATCTAGGCGTCACAGAGGATTTGACGACGGTGCTAGGTAAACACTTTATTAAGCACCTTGAAATTGTCATGTTATTACCACTTACATAAGTGAAACTCAAAGTCAATTCATTTATTACATTACAATCACTAGTGATATCTCGTCCGTGGCGAGCTCAAATATGGATTATTCTGGTAAATGAAATTCCGATAAAAATACACCCAGAGTGTTGAATGACGGCATAATGTTACCATTTGTTTCCTTTCAACAGGTCTAAGATTGTATAAGCAGCCAACGGCCAAGTCGAATAGAAGCATCATGCTGAATGCTGTTGAATATTGTGTTTTCCCTGGGGTTGTGAACCGTGATCATAAACTACGCGTACTGGATGAAATAAACAGATCAGAGAGTAAACATTTTCTGATAATGTTTCGTGATGCTGGTTGCCAATTTAGAGCTTTGTATTCTTATATTCCCGAGAGTGATGAAGTGGTGAAATTATTTGGAGTAAGTATCCATTAACATTAATACTACTCTGAAAAGTTTACTACGTAAATATTAATGGTGTATTTTCTTTAGGTTGGACCAAAGCAAGTCACAGATGACATGTTTGAAAAATTCTTCAAGTTAGTAATCACATAAAAATAACCTCATCTCTTATATCTACTCACTGTTTTAGATTTGGGTAACACAAAATTTAACATTTTTTATATAGATATAATTCGGGAGGGAAATGTTTTAGCCTTGTTCACACAAAGCATTTAACAGTGGTAAGTAATTGACTGACGATGAGCTGAGAATTATGAAACCTACGTTTATAAATGTCCGTAACTTGCCCTATCTCTTGAGTTGAGTCATGAAGGCAATATGAAAAAATTAAGAGGACACCTTATATTAATGTAACTCTATGGAGGACACTCAGGCAAGAGTGATTTCAAGATGGGCTCAGGAAATTTTGACCCAACTCAAGAGATAGGGAAAGTTACGGAAATTTTAAAAACAGTTTTCATAACTGCCTAATTAACGTTCATAGATATTTGAAAGCAATATATTTTGATAATACTTGTTTGTAAATATTTTTACAGACTATAGACGCCTTCACTATCCACAATGCCCTGTGGCAAGGAAAACGTGCTCCTGCTGCAAAAACCAGGTACGTTTAGTTTTAGACTAATTTTATGCTCTTTAGGCAGGATGATACTAATTTTATGATTCTTATTCCTATTAGAGACTATGCATTGGTCATCTAACAAGAACAACGGACAACTACAATCTCCAGAGTCTAATCTAATCAACATTACCCCAAAACATCTCGTCCATACTTTGGAATTTTTAAAACTACCTCCAATTTCTGTCATGTCTGACTATTTTAATTACTCCTGCCTATTAATTTATGTAACACTTGCTTACCATTTTTTATATATTGGTGCTTATCTAGCCATTACCTTATACTTCCTTGAACTGGTTGCTGTTTTTAATCTAGAATTATTGACCTTGACGCAGAAAATGTCGCTATATATTCAATCTATTTGACAATGTATGAAATTGAATAATCTGCCTGTTTAATCTGCAATTTAAACTGTAGTCAAATTAATAATATATATAATATTCCCATCAGCTTAATTTGTGATTTCTTATTTTTAACTTGGACGATTTGATTTACTGAAACGCAATCATTTCGTAGTGTAGTTTTTATACCTTAAATGTTTAGTTTATTATATAGGGCTGTAGTACTGTAAGACTAAATAGTATTAATAACCAACAATGACGAAATGTCTTCTTGATTAGTTAACGTGTGACAATGTAAACGTCAGAATAATTATAAAACTCTTAATACCAAAAAATATCCTATTTTAACGAGAAGGAAAAGAGCGTTTTAAAAATCACAGGCAGAAACTCTTCTCTCAATAATTATACCCTTTGTTATGGTTGTTGCTGAAATACTACATCACTTTACTAAAAAATGTAACACGTATCATATCGCAAAGGGCTTTTCGTTGTTGTAGCTTGTCGTGGAAGAATGTCTAGTAATTTGCACGGAAATATACTACTTACATACATACTTGTGAAAACATAATTATATTATGGAACAGAAAACTGACTTTAACAATCGCAGTGGCTTAAACCATTTTCTTTAATTTACAAATTAAACTAATAATATTCCGAATTTTTAACTGCATCGATAATTTATTGCTTTAGTTATAAAATGACATAATTTTCCTACTACTACTATCGCTAATTATTTATTTATAATGGAAGGTAAAAATATATATATGGAAAGAGGTGAGTGGACGCAACACCATATAATACAGAGCGTGCTCGTTTTGATAACTTTTTCGTGACAAAAGAAATTATATCATTGATTAAAATTACTCATAATAATCATAACATAATCGTATAATCCTTATATAAGCAACACGATATGTACTAGAAATATTTAACCCTATTAAATGTGATGACTTCATGGCTATATAACTGGATCAGATTGAACGTCAGCAATTGAAAAGCAAAATAAATAAATGCGGCTTCAATGTGCCAATTCTTATTTTAAAAATAAGACAACAACAATTATTTGACGAGTATTGTTTATGATTTTATTAATTTGCAAAAGATTTGTTTAAAATATCGAATGGTACATGTTGACAGCGAAAATTTTGTCATCGTATATCTAATCCGCAGTATCCAGTCCAGTCCAATGGTAGTGCAGAGTCAGGTCAGCAGTAGTAGGCGGCCGTGGACAAGTCGTCATTTGCAACCTTTGTTCAGAAGATACAAATACTTGCTTTTTATGCGATTTTCTCATTAATTTATGACAATTGGCTACCTGAGTTATTGTTCTTTGGTTTTGGTTCTTCGCAGGCCGAGGCCGCGCCAATGCATGTGCAGTCATCCTTCGGTTTTTCAGGGCAGGGTGGCTTCGGGACCGGTTTGCACTCCTCTGCAGGACAGGCGAAGGTCAAGGTAGCTGGGAGGTTGGTACATCTACCAAATGTACATAAATGTTACTACAGAGCATTTTAAATTCCATTGAGAAAGATTATTTGTTGTGAGAAAAATTAAATACGGTGGTGGAGCCGGAGGTGGGCACGCCTTCTTGGGGGGCTCACAACACTTGGGCGTATTGGACTGTGGAGGGAGAGAAAAACGACATGCACTTCCAACATACAAACAAAACAATCTTGACCACAATGAGAAGATTTTCCAATTCGAGAAAACTTACGTTGGAACAGTTGCTCATGATGATGGTGGTGATCCGGTGATTGGGGGAGTGGTTGATCTCGCTAACGTTTGGTTGGGAGGAAGAAGTGTGATGTCCAATGTCAGCAGTGTACAATTTGTGACAAAGCAAACTTTTTCTTCTCTGACGATACATTCGGACTTTCTTGTCTCGTCTGATTTTCTTGTCTCGCCTGAAAGTCAGACCCGTTGGCAGGGATACATTTTTCAAGTAGAAGTACAAAAGTGAGAAAATTTCATCATGATCGATCGACTAAATTGACAATGGAAAAATAACTATTATAATCCAATTTAATTATTTTAAATTATTAAGAACTATTCAGTTAGCTACTAAAACATTAAACATTAAACATTCAGCTATAGTTTATACACCAGATTTCATGTATTGGTTAGGGTAAGTTTCTTTATTTGGACAAGAATTTGTATCATACGTGTACAGGACATGAGTAGAATAGCATTAAATCATGTAAAGGGTTTTTTTGTAAAGTGTTTAGAAAGAAAGTAAGGTTGATAAAAGTTGTTTGATTTAATAAATTATAGTCCATATCGATTCTTGTTCCAACGCCATCATCCAATCACCTCGTTTACTTCTGCAAATAAACAAAAACAAGCAAATTTTAAAAAAATGCTAAACATTTCCTGCTGATGTCATTATTTAAACACATATAAAACAAAAACTTCAACGAAGAACACGTTATGCATAACAAAACAATAATTAATTAAGAGTTAACACCTTAATACTAACCAGCAACTTGATGAATGAACACTAATCAAACCATTAATGCAACCAAAAACAAAGTAAACGATTAAACGAGATCCTAGACCTAGCCTGACCTACGTACACCTACGTTATTATTATTGTGCCTCCTCCTTGTTGGTCCTGGTGGGGAATGAATTTTTCCAAATAAACTGCCGATACTCCTGTTGACTCATCCCACCTTTGTACTTGTGATGAGCTTCGCACACGCAGCTCTCCTCCTCAGCCCCCTTAAAACAGCGTCGGAAGCCATTGTAACACTCCGACTCAAATCCTACTCGCTTGAGCATATTCCCAAGTGGCTGCATTTTTCAGGGAGCAAGGACAAATTAGTCGCTTTCGAATAAGTAATAACCAGGAAATGTGTATTGTCATCTTGAAATAGTTACATTTGTTTTCCACAAGAAATATTTAGCTCTGGACAGACACATGCCCCCTTCGTAGACGGGTGTGCCTTGGGGAGTCATCTCGAACTCGTCGCTTTCGCATTTCGGCTGCTCTGGCTCTTTCGAGAACCAAGGGTTGTCTGAGGGGCTGTACTGGATATTGCTGGGACAAACCCAGTCATATCGGTATGGGTCTCGTGCCCGTCGAGTGAAAGTGCACAGAGCACAGTCCTCGTTATCTCCTCGCCTTTCTGCCCCACAGTATGCGCAAGGAGGTGGAGGGGGTGGATTCCACACTGACGGTTCTCTTTCTTCTCCCTGCCCGCCTTCATGACTGCGAGGAGGGACTGTTGGACATCCGCACATCAAAGATGCAAGATTTGCTCGACACATTTCTGTCGCGGATAAGGTTTCGCAATCATTCTTCGCAGGAGGACATTCCGCTTTGGTTATTGGTGAAGGTGGTGCTTGACATTCCGAAACTTTTTCCTCTGTCTCGCAAGTTTTCTGTGGGTTTTCCGTTTCCTTTTTTGAACTGCAACCACTCCCTCGACGATTTCCCTTATCCCAGAATAAAGGTTTCGCTTCATAGTTCCAAGGTTCTTTGGACGCAACATCTCCGTCTTTTTTGGAAGAGCTAATCTTAGTTTTGGATTCTTGTTCGCATGCTGGGGGTATTTCTTCAGACTTCTGGACGAGGGGACTAATTGCAGGAAGGGTGCCTAGGCCGGCGCAATCCTTCAAATGATCTTTAAGTTCTTGATTGCAATCACATTTGGTTTTTCCGCAATTTATGCAAGTATTCTTTGTCATATTCTCTGGAGGTGCAAGTTCGGGAGGATCAATTTTCCGTATTTCCGGTTTCGGTTTGGGTGAGGATACAGGAGGGCATGGTGGTGGCGGGAGTTTCCGAGCCTCTTCCGGTGATTTTGTGGACTCGCACTTAGTTTTTGAATCAGAGGGTGATGTGGACGATGTAGTATCAGCAGTGTTTGGTGGTGTCGGAGTGCAGACGCAAGTCACGGCTTCCTCTTTTATTTCAACCACCTTCAAATTGTTGTTGCTGTCTTGATTGGGTGGCATATCTTTTGGGGGATCTGGGTACATTGGTGCCCTGGATTTGCATAATTTGTCTAAAATTGTTTCACAACTTTCGGATCCACCACCTTCCGAGAATGGAGTTTGAACTCGTATGACGAAGTTACTCATGGGGGTACAACAGGTCGCTCCTTTCTGTCGACACTCGTCACAGCAGGAAGATGGGAGTTTGTTGAACTCTTCATAATTGCACTTTGAAGGAGCTGGTTGTTCCTCTTCCAGAATGCACTCCCCTTCACCATCTTCTGCACATTCGTCGTCATCATCCTCTTCAAGGAGTTCCTCACAGTCGTCATCATCGCCTTCTTCTAGAATACCTTCCTCGTCACAATCATCTTCGGGGGGAGGACAACTACAGTCCCCTTCGCATTGTGCTATGAATTTTTCGGAAAGACTGGACTCTGCCCCTTCTTTCTTAATGAGGGGGCACATGTAACCATCTCTCCTAACCACTAGCTCAGGATTGAATACATTTCGGTGGTGACGTATTCGGTCGTCTTCTACATTCAGACTTTGACACACTTTCTCTAAACGGTCTGCATCTGTCATGGTCTCCGTTTCATGTTCTTTATCCTTTTATCAACACCCTTTATTATTAATACTTTGATAAATTCTTCATAACCACTATGCCCTAAATTATGCATTATCATCAATTTTCCTATCTGACTCTAAAGATATACTTATGAATGACCACTGTCTAACCTGCATGACGCTATTTTGCTAATACTTTGCTAAATATTAAAACAAAACAATACTTTCACTTGCCTTTCCGAACAAAGACGCAAGTTTGGCAAAGAGTCCTGGACTGTTGTCCTCGGCTTTTGCAAGTCCAGGGCATTTTGGCTTCATCATGGGACAGTTTGCACTGACTTTGGGCTTTCCGGCAGGTTTATCTTGTCCGCATTTTCCACAAGATCCACCCTAGTAGAAAATAAAACACTAATGTAAACCCAGCATTGACTGATGACTCTATTCGCAAGGAAACTTTGATGCAATTGCGTAATACCGTTGGATTACGTCCGCCAACAGAAATTGGAAGAATTTGAACTCCTTGTGGAACTGGGTACATTTTTGTGGCGTTGGGCGAACATTCAATCCACTTCGGTTTACAATCTGAGCAATCTATGATAACAAAGGAAATGAGTGATATAAAATTTAATTGAGATTAAATTGAAAATTGATGCGAAAAATCCCGACCTGTGGTAGGCATGGGAGGACACTTGTTCTTTTTTTCTGTAAATTGGAAGAAATATAAGTCATATTGACAAGCTTTTTGTGCACGAAAACCTATAGTTTTCTGATGTCTTACCGTCCTTGCAGTCTTTGGAATTATTCGCCGGTGGGCATGGTGGGCAAGGCGGAAGTTCGGGAATTTCGCAGCATTTGGAAGATCGCTTCTACCAAGGCCAAAAACAAAATTCAAAAGAGAAGGGAAACTACGATTTCCGAATGCAAAAAGTGTGATGAACTTACGGTGGTGGTAACTGGGCAAGTACTCATTGTGGGTGCGGCGGTGGGTGGAGAGAGAGAGAGAGAGGATGTAGCGTTGGGGTAAAAATTTAGTCGGGAGTTTGCGAGAGAGCAAGGACTTGTGTTGTGCTCCTGTCTAATTTTTTTCGAAAGTGAGTCTTTTTCTAACTCGCCCAGTCTGTCTGTTTTCGAGTGCAAACCGTTGACAAGGAAATTTAAAGAAGTTAAAATAAATTGTGAACTTGGACGAACATGGATGGACAGCAAAATTATGTATATGCTTCAAGGTTTCTTTAAATTAATTGCATATTAAAATTATTTATTTGCAGATATTACAATTTTGACTAGTATGTACATGTTGAAATAGCATTAAATATACACGCATCAAAATAAATGGGAGCGATAATAGTCCAAATCTCTAGGATGACGAACGAGTGCTGTTCAATTTTCTATTTGATAATTACTACTGGAAAATACAAATCAAAAATTAAATTAATCATAAAACGCAGGCATCATCAATCATCATGTGTACCACCAACACTTACACGAATATTACGCTCCGCTTTTTCTGTTTTCAAACTTGCAGCAGGACCACACTTTTTGGGACATTCTTGCTGATTAGTTCCTGAAATAATTGAACAAAATAAATAGTAGTACTATGCTTACTATAAATAGTATAGCGAAGCGAAAGCAACACCGCTAAAAATAAATCACGAAGCCTGCATTTGTTGGACGCATTTAAGGTTAATAAGCAGCGATGAAAAAGCCAAAATATCATTGAAAAATAACTACCTCGACCCTGTCACTCCATTGCTTGCTAATTTATTATCTGGCTCAGCTGAAAGTTTTTATAACTATGATATTCCGTTGACCATTTTTCTTGAAGTCATCCATTATTGATGTTACACAAAAACTCATTAATTTAAGTTATCGTACCTCCTGTTGCAAAGTTGTATGCCACCATAACGTATTTTTTCACAATTGGAACCCCATTTTTTACGTAGTAAGCGGTTTCCGTTGGATAGACCTGGTTGATGTTAAGAGTTCATAATGAAGACATAACACAAGAGGAGAAATTAGAACTAGAATTGAAGAGTTGCACTAACCAAGTATGATGCACTACCAGCTCCAAGTGTTCCAAATATCAATTTCCGCGTTAACCCACGTCGAAAGCCAAGCATCATGCCAAATAATGCACCAGCACCAATGGTTCCAAACCTAACCTCGTCAGGGGCTCTGGTCCGCAGGTAACACACATTATCTGAATTTATATATATATTTATATATCATGCGTACAGTTACGAAATTATACGAGTGTAATACACTCGTGTATTACAGCATCATAGAACGTTGATCTGGGTTATGTGATGTGATTAACACACCTTTAACAGCTCCATAAGCACTGAAAACTGATTTTTTCATTCCATCCGTGTATGTGTCCATGTTTTCTTTGAGTGGAGCTAAATCTTGACGGCATTTCATCACAAGCCGTTCCAATTCGGTCTCTTTGCATTCTGGTTCAGGAGGTGGACATCCGCAACTATTCCAAAACATAGGTACAATTACAAGATTAAATCATACGACACATATGTGACATTTTGACATGATGACGTACGCATCTTTCTTTGGTTCTTCGTAGACGCAGCCTGGATTACTTCGGTTGCTGGCTGCAAAAACAGGGCTGTCAAAAATGGTCATGCACGTTGCAGTTCCAATGGGAATAAGGTACTTGGCCGCTCGAGTCAACATTTTCGTCCAATTTAATCAGTACTGTCAGTGTTAATCTGCAATGTAGTAGTATGATCAGAATTTTTACAAAAATACGAATAGAATACTAATTTATTTAGAATACTAATTTTATTCTATGCAAGTGTTTTATAGCGGCTGGTATAACGACGTTTCTATAACAATCAGCACATTACGCTGGGAATAGATTTCGAACAATTTTGATATTCTTATTTGAATCTCAATTGAGAGATAAATCATTGCATCAAAATTCTAGTGTAAATTTATACCCCCGAAATTCTTGGTTGTAATCAAAATCTTTCGTGAACAATCTTAATATGGATTATAGTGGCAACCTAGTTAAATTTTTCGACGGCCCATTTCCCATATCTATTCAGTTTCAAGTGAGTATGTTGAAGTATTGCCCTCTCTCCCATGTATGTATGTACTTTTTTGGCCAGACTGCTCATTAATAGAGACGGCAGCGATAACCCCCCAAGTTTAGCCCATTTGAATTTCATAAATAGTACTCATGATTTTCTCATGCAAAACCACTGTCTGACTGACTTGTAATTTCTCTTTTCAGAGAGTTGCTCCTGACACGCCCACGTCACTCTTTGGTGGACATATCCAGACTGGGGTTATCAATTTGTTGCACTGTACCCAGGAGAAGGTTTTGGAACACTGGGAGAAACAAGTGGGCCAAAATTATTACATAAATTTGATATAGTACTAATCCCAATTAAATAATATTATATGAAAATGCAAACAAGGTGCGCCGTGGATATGTCAAAAAGGTTCAGGACATTCAATTGAATGGTCCCGTTATAGAGATTGTGGGGCAGAATCCTAACACCGTCTTCATCACCACACCCATCGGACTGTATCAAAGCTTAGGAATCCGCCTCCCAATTTTAGTTCTGGTTGTTAAAAACCTTCGAAAACAGTTTACGTTTGACATTTTGGTAAGCTTCTTTATACGTGATGATTCGTACATGCAGGTGCGGCGGAATCGGGGGGAAATAATTCCCCAGAGAATTTTTATTTCCCTATCGTTGCAATATAATGCTATCAAACTCTACCCCTTCCTATCTTAGGATTAGTGTTATTGTCCCAACGGTTCTGCAGCCTATGGGTGCATAATACGTAATGCAATATATAAAAATCTCACAGGTGCTGGACGATAAAAATGTCCGTCATCACTACAAATTCAGCAATCGACAAACTACGACAAGAATTAAAGCAACATGTTCGTACATCCCTTTGCGGATGGAAGACGGTTGGAATATGGTACAATTAATATAGTAACTGATACCATTATGCTGTAAAAATTCATCAGGTTTATTCATACGTGGATGTGGGTACGGCTTATTATAGTTACAGATAAATTTACAAGACGTCGTGTTCAAGACGTTTGGCAGTAACTACAAAGAATGTATTCGACTTCAAATTAATGCCAACTGCAGGTTACGTCGGGTAACTATTTTCCATTCTAACTATATGCCGAATTCTGGTTTCCTTCCGTTCGAAGATGTTCAATTTATCGTTAATTTTGGGTTAAGGTTGGATTTGGTGAAAGCAGTCCAGACCAAGAACAAAGTGAACTTCCAGCCGATCTGAGAGCATTTGTTGCAGAAACGAGAGGAATTACGTCAGATATTTGAGAGTATGCCGGCTAGTTGAAAACAGATTATTGCAAAAAACAAGGCCTAAAAGGTCTTCGGCTAAAAATGTCACCATCTTTGAAAGAATTTACAACCACATTAACGACAATTCTACAATTTCTGTAAAGTATTTGCCGTCTTTCCTTAAATAATAAAACTTTTTCAACCTGCAATTTTCATTGGAGTTTCGTTTCAAAAGCCGATAACTGAAAAAATGTAGTAACAAGTAACACTACAAAGCCAAAAATGTTCGTTACCGTTTTGATTAGGATACTCACAATGCAAATCCTTTTCTAACCATCCGAATTTCGTAAGGTTTATTAAAAAATTTAAACACTGAAATAATTCTGAATTTACCATTCACAATAGCAATTCTTCGTATAATAATAATTTTAGTCGGTTTTGTTCAGATCACAACAGGGAGTGAGATAGTGAGAACAAACCAAAAAACCTTCCTGCCTCTCGATGTGAGCCGGTGGTAGTGAGATTTTTCTGCACGTTAAAGTTTCACTGCTTTCACCTCGAACACTATTAAAATGTTAAATGAAAGCAAAGTACAAAAATGTTGAATGAGTGTCTGTACACCCTCATGAGTATATAGACATATTTTAATAATATTCAAAGCTATTTTACATGTTATATATCACAGATAATTGGTTCTTCCAATTTAACAGTCGATACCTGAGAAATTCAACTCAGATCGTGAGAGAAAGCAATTACATAACGACCTGGATAACACAAATAAAAGGTTAATATCAATATTTTTGTTTAGTATGAACTGCGATTATTTCTAACTTACCGTCATCATCCAATTGGAGTAGTATCAAATTTTCTGCCTTCATATTAGGATGACTAATTGTTTTGGAGAACATATCAGTAGTTTCGTCATCCAATGTTAGGGTTAATTCCGTTTTTGACGAATCATCTTCTCCAACAGTCACTTCATTTTCTATCTCCAAACTTTCCGGCATTGGTGGATTCTGAGGCACAATTTGTTTTGCTCTAATGTCCAAATTGACCTTTTTCGATCGTTTGGCAGATTGACGGGTTTTGCCTATGTGTGAGACATTAGAGCGTTTCATTGTGTTAGATGCACTACTTGCACTTGTTGCGTGCTCGTCTTCTGTTTGGGATAATGCAGGAGTTTTCTTTGTCCTTGGATGACACAAAGATCCATCCCCAGGGATAAGCATGCTACTTAGGTATCCTAAAAAAATAAATGTTTGATCATTTCAACCAGAGGAATGGCCCAATTAGACAGAAATTTGTATAAAATTTCACCTTCAGCCTCCCAGGTATCCTTATCACTTGGATGTTCTTTCATCCAATGTCTATGTAGAGAGTATTTTTGTCTAAAACGTACATTTCGTTCACAAAATTCGCATTTGTAGACATTATTTCCATGAACAGTTTTTTTGTGTTGATGCAGAATATACGGCCGGAGGAATTCCGCGTTACAGATATCGCATGCAAATTTTTCTCCGTTTGTTTGATGGGTCTTTGCATGAAGTTTCAAGTACTCTGGGGAAAAAAACTTTTTCCCACACTGATCGCAAATTTCGTGTCGTTTTTCCTCTGCCGGAATGTGCGAACGTGAATGAGTTTGGAGGTTGATTTTCTGTGCGAATCCCTACAACAGTAACAAATACAGTGCATCTACCGATTTGTGGAATTTATCAAAGATCGTTCACCATATAATAAACTAACCTTGCCACAAACGGTACAAGTAAATGGCTTGCTTTCTTTATGAATGCGCATGTGAACAGTCAAACTTTTTAGTGTTTTCAGTTTGCTGCCACATATTAAGCAAGAAAACTGTAATTTTAACATATTTAAAAATTAGAAATTGAATCTACATAAACTGATTTGTAAACGATTTAAATAATACCTACCTGGGGATCAGTATGAACATGATAATGATCTTGCAACAGAGCTTTTCGGGTGAACCGTTTGTTGCACTTTTTGCAAACAAACTTCTTTTCCAAATGAGTGTTCCGATGGGTTTTCAATGAACTCATCTAATTTGGATTCAATATGGTGATACTTGTTAGTAATATCGCCGTAATATGATATATAAATACAAGACTTACGTTAGAGTATGTAGCACCACAAAATTCGCAAACATACTTCACGTCGACATTTTCGTCAGTGGATGATTGATTTCCGGTAAGAAAGGCGAGTCGACTAGCTTCTTCGCAATCCTCGTGTTCGACATATCCTTCCTATGAGAACGATCACAGGTTCAGTAATTAGAACAAAAATTAACGTGAAGGAAACTATAGCTCTTTGCTCTTTTACTAAACCTTACCAGAGTTGCGAATGGTTTAGTACACTCGAAGCAAGATAATACTTTACATAAATTGGAATGATCCTGGTTGATGTGATCTTTTAACTGCAGAACGGTGTCAAATAGTTGTAAGCATTTATCGCACACTAACTTTTTACAACGGTGGGTATTTAATTCTTTTGGATTTCTCAGTCTAAGAAAGCACTTTGAGCATAAGAAGGGATGCGTGTGTTCTGCTAAATGGGTTTGAAAACTCTGTAAGTCTAGCAGATCCTCTTGACAGCCCTTCCAACAACAATTGATATTTCCTGTTGCTAAATCGTCCAAGGCGTTACGGACCTGGGAACACAAAACGATAATTGCATATAGGAATATGAATTTGTTCTCGTATTAATATAAAAAAACAAACATAATAGTCTTACGGTTCGACAAACTGAAATATGGACCTCGTACGATACATTAGTTAATATTTTCCGACAGTTAGGGCAAATAAAATCATTTTCAGTGTGCGATGATAAATGAGTTCTTAAGTCCGTTTGATTTTCAAAAACTATATTGCAAATACAACAACCATTCACAGAGGGTTCTTCACATGCGTGGTTTCTATAAAAATTCTCATTTCCAAAGTACTGCCGACAACCATGGCATTGAATATAATCATGGTTCACAGTGACGGCATTCTGCACAAAACAAATTCATGTCATGTCAAAATTAATATTGTATTGCGCCGTTGAATAAAGTACTATATTGTGAACTCACTTCAGCAATAGATCCATGTGCGATTCGTAAATGACGAATTATAGTTTCTAATCGTGTATAACATTTGACTTTTCTACAAATGTCACATGTGTATGGGAGTGTTGGCTGAAGTAACGACGGGTCAATCTCTTGTTCATTCTTGTCTAATTTATCCTCGATTGATTTGAAACATTTGTAATGCTCGATCAGATGTTGGGCAAAACTGGTTATTATGTTCATCTAAAATTCAAGAATCAGATCCATATCCATTTGTGATTGCTTGGTTTGTTAATTATCATGTGTATATTTAGGTGTGCATGACATACTTGAACATGGCAGAATTTGCATTCCCAAATTTCAGTATGACGAATTGGGTAACAAATTCGACGCTTTTGTCTTTTCATATCCTTCTTTTTCTTAAATGTGCACTCTTCTTTATTGCCTTTAATACTTTTCACCTTTTCGACCTTGGCTGGCAACAATGTTTTATTGCGCAATCCAGAAGAACGCATTTTTCGCTTTTTCAGACGCTTCGACGACCTTGTTCCAACCACTCTGAGAGTGCTACAGTTGTTAATAACTTTCTTGACAAGGGGTTCATTATCACCTGCATCATTTATGACACTTGGCGACGTAGGAGTAAAATAGTCGTGATCAATTACAGTATCACTGGCTTGTTCCGATTGCAAGTGGTCAGTGTGCAATTTTTGTACATCCATTTTCACAGTTTCTGACTGTAGCTGCGGTGCCAGACTTCGGCTATCACATTCTTTAATTTTCTTCATTAGGCTAAAGTATCCTGGAGAGTAACATACGACGAGGGGCTGTCTCTTTTTGATTACTGTCACCACAGAGAAATATATTTCATCTTTTAGCTGATAGCAGATTGTATTTCTCATTGTTTCATCATCAGTGAAACGGACTAAGGACATCCAGTTGCATTTGGATAAATTGGTCGTGTCCAGGTAGTGAAGGATCCTATTTCCACGAAATATCTATAAAAATAGTATTAAAATTTGGGAATATTAGCATAAAATGAATCAATGCATGGAGTAGAGGAGTTTGTCATCGTGTAAACGTACTGGAAGTTGATACGCGCATGATGAATTTAGTCTTTTGTATTTAGGGGCTAAAAAGGGTCCAAATTGAGTCCCCAAGGGCAGATCCGCTGTACTGATGATGTCAAATCTACCGTCACCCAACGCTCGACTTTCCAAATTTTTCGGCAATGTCAGAAATGCCCGTTGAGGAAGTATGGAATCCGTTATCCTATTTCCGTCTACTAACATAGGACATTCCTCCGTACGATGGTGTGAATTACAAACGTTGCAGCCCATTGTGACGACTGCAAAATAATTACAAATCACATTACTATTTAGTACAAATATCTTGATTAATTCACAAACCTTAATTAACAAGCCAGAAGATGGATGGATATTTTTAGTAGATTCGGTACATAAATAGGCAAGGTGCACATAAATGATAAATAAATTAACAAATATGGTCGACGGTTGAATGGTCAAGTGGACGAGCAACAACTGGCCAGGTCAATAAAATAAAAACAACGATTTTATATACATTGGATGGAAATGTGAGAATATCCTCAGCTGGCCTGACAAAATAAACAAGTCTCATTTTTCCCGACAATCAGTGACAAATCTCAACAATGGAATTAAGCCCACAGGTGAAATATGCGACGCCACCTATCCGTCCATACCGCTGCATGTTATTCTACGTGTTCACAAGAAAATCTGGTGCGCCACACCCACTGGCTCTACAGACTTGGTTTTGGTCTCAAAAAAAGCTCCAGAATGTTCTTCGTCTACTCCCGGATATAAACATTTAAAAAAGTTGCTAAAAATGTTTGAGATAATGTATCAAAGTTTTCAAAAGAAAAAATTTGCATTTCCAACAATTAAAAAAAAAGTTTTATGTCCGGGATTAGAAGAAGAATATTCTGAAGCTTATTTTGGGACCAAAACCAAGTCTGTAGAGCCAGTGGGTGTGACGCACAAGATTTTCTTGTGACCTAGTTCCAAGTTTTTATTTTTTAAACAACTGGCATTTCAACAATTGTGGATGGATTTTATTCACTGTTTTTTAAAAATGATCTGAATGAGTTATATTTTCAAATTTTTAATTGTTTTAAGTTTACAAAATTTCATGCGCAAACCGCAAAGGTCACAAGGTCAAATCTCACATAGCCCCATAAACTGGGTATGGTTGGAAAGGTTGTGGAGAGAGGATTTAGAATATATATACTTTATGGGGTGTAGGACCACCCCCTGATTATTTAGAGACCGATGAGTATTATTGAGTTTTCCTCGATCTAGTGCTATGTTAACTCTCAATCTGCTCCTGTGTTAACGTCTGTATACCTGCAAAACCAAAACTCAAAAATGTTCACTGGCCTCTAATTAATCAGGGGATGGTCCCAGACCCCACAAAGTATATATATTCTGAATCCTCTCATCAAGACCTTTCCAATGGTACCCCATTTATGGGACTGTGAGCCTTGACCTTATGACCTTTGGCCGTAGTACATTCAATTTTTTGACCTTCGAAAAAATTCAAAATTCTTAATGAATCTGAAAGTACAACTCATTGAGATCATTTTTCAACAAAAATGAAAAAAAATTCATCCAATATTGTTGAACTGCCAGCGATTTGAAAATCTTTAGTTTTGTAACTTTCGTCAGTCACCCGTCCTCTTAAATGTAATCTTTTTCATTTCAAAATTGCACAGTAGTGGCTACATAATTAGTTTCGAGAATGTCTGGTATGGGCTGCATTTTATCATCAATTTTTACATGCACATTGTCAAAGTCGGTCAGTCGCACGGTCAGTCGAGCATATTGGAAATGAATGATTGCCGAGTCTGCTTTGCTGGAACTTCAATGAAACGCTGAATTCATGCAAAAGTATCAAAAAATGGACTAAATATCTTAAACATATATTTATTGAATTGCTCGAAGTTGAATCTTAAAGGAATAACATTTTATTAATTTCTTTGCGTTACTCTATTTTATAAGACACGTAACGTGTCTTACAGGGGGTTACTTTTAGGTAAACACTAATTGAAAATTGAACTGCATCAAATATTTAAGAATTGAATATTTTTATTACACACACAGCATATGGTAAAGTCGAACAGTAAACCTCACTGTGGAAATACATTAAATGCATGCTACTTTCTCGTAGTTTAATTTGTTACATACACAGATTACTTGACCGTTCAATATGAATAACAATTAGTACAGTGGCCGCTAATAATAATCTTACAAGTCTTAAAAATTATCACGATACCGTAAATAATGATCTTAAGCTAATCTGTGCATGCTGAATCCAGCATGAAATAAATACATAGTCAATATACGCACGGAGTACAATTAATAATTATAGTCGATATAATGAACATACATGTGTAATCTTCATCCTGTCAATATTTTGAAAAATGCTTGAATTAACTTAATTAAATTAATGCAATGCAAAATATCACTATTTTATCTACTGCACTATAAATCTGCAAAAACTAACTTCAATCGCAAAATAATGTGACCTGGTAGGAATAACCAGTGTTAATGTTCATATACAAATGACTGGGTAAACGACAGTGAAGTGTTTATAAGTAAAACTTTATTTTGCTTCTTTATTTGCTAATAGCCAACTACCAATTTCTTAGAATTCAGAAATACCAAGAGAATTTGCCAACAAAAGTTATAAAATAAAATTCGTCACTCAAAATTTGACCACAAAACAAATAATAATATGGTTCACGACCAAAATAATACAACGGAAATTGGATACTATTCATGTAACGTTGTGTGTTAGTTAGACTGACGGACGAAGCTCTTGATTATATATTCAATCTTGACTCTCGAACTTCGACAGGGTTAATTTCAATATTGTTCAAGTCGATTCGCATTCGTTATGGACAAATTACGTTATCTTATCCTCCGGTAGATCGAATACTGATCTTCACCTATGTGCAATGAAACAAAACACATTGACAGATAATCATTCAGGATATCTCTAAGACACACAAGTTGTATATAGCTATTAAGTTAAGTGATAATTATATTATTGAGTAATGGTGAAAACAAGAAATCTAAGCGAGTAGAAGTTCCGGTGCGAAATACATAGGACTCTATTATTATTATTTTCATCTGGATAGAGAATGATTTCGTTCTCGAGTAGGAGACATATTATTATTCTTGCTTTTACCATCACCGCCATCAGTATAACCTCGGAGGCGCATGTAGGCCGGAATTTTGTCGAAAAAAGGGTGGCTCAAGGATTCAGTTAATGTGATGCGTTGTGGAGCCTCGTACTCGAGCATTTTCCTAATCAAGTCGAACAGTTGCCGGGTATCCTCGTCATCAGTTTTCATATAACGCTACAAGCAAACAAAGTTTTAAATTGTTCACTTTAACATGCACGCAGATTCAGTTGAATATATATATTTCCTTCTAATAAGTCAGGTGTGATGGAAAGTATTTAATATTATATACCATTAGAGGATGGCAGTTGTCTCGAACATATCGACCAGCAGAAGATCGCTCGTCCCAATCCAATTTTCCGTGATAAAAATATTTTGACTTGGTCTTCCTTGCCATCCTAAACAAAATATTAAGGCTCATTAATATCTAAAATCAACCAGATTAATTTAAAGATGTATGAATTAATGTCTTAGTTTAGTATTAGAATAACTCTCAAATTCTTAAAGGACCAACACTTTTACGAATATTAGAGACTTATTATGTTTTAGTATTCTCTCAATTGCTGACCGAGCACTTTATAAAAAATAGTCCCAGTGGATGATGAGAGAAAGGTTTTATTGTATTTTAGGTAGTTAATTTCTTACCTTGATGGTATTGGCCCCAAGATTCGTTCCATCATTGCTAAGTGCTCTCGATTATCATGCGTCTGGAAGAGGGTAATACCCAGGTACAGCTCAAACATGATGCATCCTAAACTCCAAACATCACAAGGTTGTGCTGCAAATGAAAAACAACATAAGAAGTTGTCTTACGCACAATTAATTTCAACAAATAGCTCATTTTCTCCTGAAAATTGTTAGATTTAACTCACCCCATCCCAATTCTAGTATGACTTCAGGAGCACGGTAATGACGAGTAGAAACGATCGTCGAATGGTGCTCATAATCGAATGTAGCAGAACCGAAATCAATCAAACGAACTTCAGAATTCTTGACTCGACGAAAACCTTTTTTACGTCGGTTGTCGAATGAAATATCATAGTCGGAAGAACAGAAAAGAATATTCTCCGGTTTTAGATCAGTATGCGTCAACTGATTTTCATGCAAAAATTTCACTGCGTGACACATCTGGTACGCGATATGCCGAACTTGTTCCAACGGATACTGAAATATAGAGGCAACAATGAGACAAAGTGAGAACAAAAGGTTGTTGTAAGTAAGAAAATGAGATGATAATTCCTGAACTATCCGGATTTTTGAATAAAGCATATGAATAGTGGGTACTGCATACTTACCGGGTGATAACTGTTGTCTTTCTGTAATTTTAACGCAAAGAGTTAATCTTCTATTAAATGCTTCAATTTGAGTAATAACTATGTTTTCACGAACCAAAAAGTCAAAGACACTCAGTCCCAACATCTCAAACGCAATGCACTAAAACATTAAGCAAATTATTATATTAATTCATGTTATATATTATAGTATTAAATATGCAATACCATGTGGCCGTGGTAGTCAAACCAGTCCAACATCTTGACGCATAAACTGCAAATTAGCATTATCAATTTACATAAATTATTCAATACGGGACAAAACAATTGACTGAAGCCCAAGTGACCTGTTGACGGGTCCTTTTCTAGTTACCTGTTCTTAGGATCCTTTTCAGCTAGTTTCTTTAGTACATTAATCTCCAACTTGGCAGCTTCTCTGTACTTTTCGACGTTTTTTATTATTTTCAATGCTAAGCACCGATCCCTATAAATATACATAATTAAATGTATTACATAATTTATATTACAGTTGCAAACATCCATTTTTATTTCAATATGACCTACGACTCCTTATTTAATTGTATATACGTTTTAACTATTACGTTTTCAACAATATTTACGTACATTCAAATCCTAGATAAGAATATACGTATCGTATATATTTATATCAGTTTTATAATTTTGAAATATAATTTGTATTTATATCCATCTAAAAAACTGCAACAGTTTGATCGTGAATTTATTGCTAATTTAACTATGTATGTACTTATATACCATCCATAGAATTAACCCTCTACAAATTTCCATCTTGTCATTTCCTCATTCTTCTCATTAATTTTTGTACACATAAGCTTGGTATCGTCAAAAGAATATCGCACATGATTATTTTCTGCCCCCGTCACCAATGAAGAATTGTGTTGTCAAAAATTAAAATTTGTTTGGAAACAATTCATTTGTCGCAACATGTATAGCATGGTAGAGTGTCAAATAATATTGCCACTGAACCAAAATATAAATTAAAAAGTGTATCTGATATAACTTTTCGGATTTACAGCTTATCAAATTATAAGTCTTCCTCAAAAAATATTACTATAATTATGCTATAATATGTCGTAACAAAGAAGGGGAAAAGATCATCCGCCAATGGATTAAAAATCACAAGTAGCAAGTAAACCAGCCGTCTCTAACACTTGGTCCGAGTCCAAATAGATATTTAGAACGAGAAGAACGAAAATAGTTTTGGACTGCATAACTTTTTTCATACAACGACAGATTTCGGCGTCTATACTGTGTACCGTACACAGTACACACACATCATGTTATATATTTTCTCTCGTCGACTGGCCTATACAGATAAGAAAAATCCCTACAATGTTCAACACGACCTATTTAGCATGTAATACGGCAAAATATCACCGACAGAATTTCCTTGCGAATATTTTGCAGCGAAACCCAAATAAACATATTTAGTAGCTGTATAGGCTATATAATGAGAATTAAAATCTTACTTGTTGAGATCCCTGACCTTGACCACTTTTCCTGAAAATGATTTTAAAAAATGTCAAAGTAATAAACCGAATAATATCTTTAATTTTAAAATTAGAATCGAAACTGTAAACTTACCAAATGTTCCCTCGCCAAGCGTGTCCATAATCTTATCTGTAAAGTAAGAGGTTTGTACATATAAAGTAAATAAACCCAAACCAAATACATAATTATTGGATCATAATGAAAGCCCAAAATTCTTACATCTTTGTAGAAGTATGTCTCCATTTCTGTAAATGAGATGACCGTCTTCATCATCTTCAACAGAAGGGGTGCGTGAGCTCTGTAGAAACAATACAATCGTATTAAAACCGTGGGTGGTGGATGGATACATAGAGAACCATGTTATCAGATCAGATCGCACTGTCACGATTGTCAACCATGCAAACACGCGTGCCGATTTTAAATTGATTCTCTTTACGACAATGTTCTTTAAAGTGGAATAAATTAGTCTGGTAAATTACAGTGATGTTATTCCTGATAACTTGAAATTCTATTAGTAATGCTACAATCCACATGGAGTAATTACATGATTTTGATTTTTTCACAAATATTTCGAGAAATTAGATTTCTGGTGAGAACAAAAAAACCTGATAATTTTTTCACTTTTACACACTGAGGATACCACATATTATTAGACATGAAATTCCAACATAAATCATACATAATCCGCAAAACATACTTGTGAACTTGGCCCAAATCATGAATCATCATCATTATTATTATTATTTTCAACCAAGTGCACACACGGAGCTTGTATTAGAGAAGACAAATTCGCGTCTATTTTTACATTCTTATTTCTTATTTGGCTTCGAATTAGACTTACAAGATCGTTGTATATCACAGATGAGTTTGTTACTTCTTGCCCTGTCCTGTAAGGTTTATTGTGATGATAGGATTTCGGTTCATCCAAAACACTGCTACTGTAGCCAGCAACTGTAGGTCGGACGATGCTTTTCTCAAACATTGAACTTGTCGCAGGAGTCGCGGCCGAAGTTAATAATGCGGAGGAAGAGTAATTACTACTTGGTTTGTACAAACTACTTGCACCAATCCCGGTGTCTTCTTTGCAGACACTATCGTCAACTAGTCTTCGAGTTGCATGTAGAGGTCCATTATTGCCATTGATGCCAGTGGTCGTGGCGGCAGAAGTAATAGAACTCGTGCTTGCTGAAGGCAGTAAGGCACCTACATTATCATTAGCGGGTTCCTTCAGCTGCACATATTTGCTGGAAGTGTACGTAAACCCAGAATATTTCCTAATAAGTTCCTCAATTTCTTTCTTCCTAACTAAATCCACGTCCCGTTCTTCACTTTCTCCTCCTCGTACTCCATCCTCGCCTTTCGCCTCCCTTATTGATGAAGCAAGTCCGACTCCTCCGTTCAGTAGGAGTTCTTCTGATTCTTTGAGCGTTTTTCGAGGGGTAATGTCATATGCCAACACATGCGAAGATGGGGTCACTCCATTCTGGTTGGTGAAAGCGGCAGCGGAGGATTCGCGAACAAGGTCAACGTCACCTTTCACTCTGAACGATGACGTGCCAAATTTGGTGCTAGTGTTATTATTATCTTCATCCTCTCGATCTCGATCACTGACATCACCATTAGCGTCAGGAGCAAGGGCAGCAACTTTGGTAAAACTTAAGGGGGAAGGCTCCTTTTCCTTAGGCTGGGTGTGAGACGACTTGTGTCGGTAGCGCCGATAGTAATATCGTGAAGGCAACTTATACGAAGACTTTCTCTGACTAGACCTTGAGCCACTTGCACCTTCTTTCCCGTTTGCCTCCGTTCCAACTTCATCTGCGTATTTGCCAGCCGCCTCATTCCGAACTGTTGCGCGTCCCCCATTTCCAAATTCGTCATCCAGAATTGTGACCTTATCCAAGTTATTCAGTGTGTTCGAGCGAGATAAACCTGAACTTTCTCTAAGATCCCTTTCTCTTTCGTCGTGACGATCGTACTGTCCATACCCCAGCCCTGCGAGAGGTTTGGGTTTTACCTCAGGTACTGGTTCTAGTAGATGAGAACTCGACCCCGAGTACGGCCGCCCTCCGGAAGACGAACTATAACCACCAATAAGTGGATGATGATGATAATAATATTTACTACCGGACCCTCCTCCTAGAATTGACCCAGTTGACCCACCCAACCCAGAGTCCTGAATTACACTACTGCTTGCACTCTTTGCAAGTCCGTATGTCCTACGTGAAGGGTACAAATCGTTAAGCCCTGACCGTCCAGACGTTGATGAGCCTAAATTGGATGCAGAGTTAAGAATGCTGGACGATGATGATAACGGAAGTCTACCATTTCCAGAAGAAGAAGGAGAATCATGTCCTATTAAACCCAAACCATATCCGTAACCACTGGATGAGTAAGGCAGTCTTGATGACACGCCACCAGCACCACCACCACTACTGGTACTTGCACTTTTTGATAGTCCATAACCTCGGAATTCATCCGTGTTATCTTCATAAGGCACTCTAGCCTTTGCACCCCGCAGACTAGACCTACTACTACCACCACCATTACTTAGCAAATCGGCTGTGCTAGGTTGAGAGGAGTCCTCTGGAGAAGCCAAGTTTTTGCTTGAGGATGTTAGCCCAGTGGCAGAACGGGGAGAAGCGGTAGATTCGCCATTACCACTTCCAAATAGTCGTTGATATCTCTCCGAAAGTTTCTGCTCCAATTCCTTCAGTCTATCGTTCCCAAAGTAATTATTGGTGGTCGAGCTCTTTACAAGTCCACCACTGCTACCACTCCCACTGCCCCGTCTACTTCCAGACTGACCCAATGATAAGTTATCGATATTTTCTAGATTATGATTATTCAGGTTGGACGAATGGTGATTTATATTTGAGCTAGTGTGACTCGTTGGCAGCGGAGGTTTGTACTTCACATAAGCGTAAGAATCGGAAGGATTTGAATTGATGGATGTCCCCGAATTTTTCCTAGAGCCGAGATGACCTCTTCTTTCAAACATTGGGGAGTCTGGGGCATGAGATGGCTTCATGTTGTTGGAAGATGTGGTTGTCGTGGGTTTGGCAGAAATATATGGCGTATTGTTGTTTTCAATTCCCCCATTGATTTCCGAGTCACGGGAGCCGTTGACCAGATTCTTGGTAGTGAGACGATGCAGCAGATTGGTACAGGATCTCACGACATCGGAATCTGAGAACAACTGCGCCACACTTGTTGTGGCCGATCTTCCGTATTTTCGTGGCTGTCGAGACGGCTCTCGGCCGCTCGACACTGAGTTCATGCTTGCCAGGAACAGGGTGAAAGTGTAGAAGAGGAGGAGAGATACAATCAGGAGGAAATGGATTGACGAGGCTTCCGAAGAGTAGTGAAGCAACAGTGTTTCGAATGGGTACAAAGGGTAATCGATTTCGTCCTCCTCCAACAGAAAAACTCTACCATCCGGACTCACTTCCGTTTTCTCCAACTTGTCAATTTTACGAGGGACTTGTGGATATCGATGCTTCCTCCGAATCAATCACTTACTATTCTTACGTTATGATACGAACGAGAACCAAGAACAATGACAACGTTCGCTTGGGAGCATTTGTTACGCAAGAAGATGGAACAATAACAAGCTCATTTTATGTCGTCTGAAACCTTGTTATTAGTAAATAGTATCGAATATAGGAAAGAGGATCGCAATGGTGGTGGAGGAAATTCAGACAGTTCAAAGGCCAAATAGTTTAATCCAAAGTACACGTCTAGGAGTGAAGTAGAGAGGTAGGCGTACAAAATGCTCAGCACCTACTTAATCGGAATATTGTATCGTTGCAAGATTTGAATTTTTTTCAGATATAGAAAGAGGAAGCAGAAGAAGCGATTACGTGTTACTTTGAGAATGAAGAGGAAAGTTGAAGAATAAAATGTTTCTTGTTTCTTTGACTTATTTTGGCTAACTAAACCAGCTCCGATTATCCAAACTCCCCAAATGCAATTATCTCATGTAGGTTACAGATTCTATTAGTTGATGCGATACATGCATACTTATTCAAAACAGAAGGAAAAAGTGGGATAGCAATGCCGCACAGTAGTTAGTTTAAGTTAACCAACGTAAAACCCGATCCGATATAACATGAAAGTAACGTTACTCTAGCTATCTGTGGCTCATCTATATCCATCCACAAAGATATGCAGACAAGTACATTGGATGTTAAGCCTATTTTCAAGATTCTCATCGTCGCATATCGCACGCCGTGGGACGTGGATAGGTCGAGATGCTAAAAATAGGCAAGTTTTTTCGAACACTGCTTCGGTACGGTTCGAATGTGCAGTGCAATCAGCACACTCGTTCAGTGATGCTGCTAAATCCCCCATCACAAGTGTGTGTATGTAGTCAGCAGCACTTTTAGTACGTAAAAAGTGATTCAGCGCAGCCCAGCTCATGCCAATGACAAAATGCGATTCCTCAAAGATTCCTTGCGGATTCTCCTCCGTGAGCTTATCAAATGAACTGCATATCACATGACGGTGAGAAACTTACGACGCAGAAAAATTGGCCGATGACTTGTCCTCTTGAACAACACGGATTGATCATCATTGCTATTGCTCCCTCCAACCCACCCACTACTTTTAACAAATATTTATGTACATAGTTCTCTTCACCCCCAAATATTGTGTGATTAATTTGATTCTCCTGACGAAGGGTCGAGCATTGTCCCGATAGCTGGAGTATAATAAGTATTCCAAACAATGCCTTCCTTGCACTCCATGCAAATTTTAAATAATTGTAAGTGTATTTATTAGTAAGTGATTTAACTCTATACATTATGTAATTCGTAGGTCATTCTTCACATGGACAGTAAGCTATTTTTGCATGGGTACACTTCCCGTTGAAATAATATTGGAGATTTTCAATACAAAATGCTGAAGTACCTAAGAAACTTTCGCCAACTGCCAATTTTGCAGATTTGCATCATACATATACTGTGCAACAGTGTCACTGGCTTCTTGAAGTAAATAAGTACATAATAAATTGGCTGATTACAACCTGGCTCCCAGTCAACCAGACGCTGCGGGTGGAAGTGAATCACCCCTCTTCTGCCAAGGAGAAAACAATGAACTGAATTGCACTTGTCGTGTTCGTGCATGTATACTCATTACTCAAGTCTTATGTTCCGGTGCAAGGCTTGTGGGACTCATGCTCCCGAACGGTTTTATAAAGGACTTTAAAAATTGCATTATTTCATTTTATTTAGATTTTATTATATGATTTTAAATAAATATGATAACGATTGGAGATGTAAAACCAGCGATATGCGGTGAAAGTTTAAAAAGCATGCACCTCGCTAAATTTTTACAGTCCAGAAGAAATACAATACCCAAAACGGTCAGGTTTATGTTAAGCCGAAATCTGAGATACCACTAACACAAAGAAAGTAGTTGGTTATTCCGGATTGTATGGAGTTGAGTGGAGAAAGTAATTTTTTTCATTCTCGTTAGAATCGTGAAAGTGAAAAGGAAGAAATGATTTAAAAAACATTTTGGAGCCAGTATTTTTTCTTGTATGAATGCATTTAGCAGCTATAATTGTAAATAAGAGAACGTTAAGCTAGACGACGTATGTACAAAGGTTGAGCTGAGTTGGAATGAATAACATCAACAACCTCGGGATTGGATGGGTCAACGTTTCCTGACACCACTTGACTACATGAGAATTGAGAATAAGACTAGTGACAAAATAAAACTAGTAAAGTTACGAAATGATCATAGACGGTGCTTTCCGGAGGTGATCCTCATTCGGGTATTCTTCACAATGTATTACCAACTACAAAATAAAGTGGTAAAAATTCCTTCCTTTAGCTGCTGAAGGAAGGAACCTGGATTTCGTTCACTTTGAAATATCATGTTTCACTCGACAAAGCAACTCCACCGGACATAATTATTTTCATTCTAAACAAATCTCACACTAACACTCACACAGGACACTGAAACTATAAGTTAAATTGAAACCACAGAAGGACTCCATGCACTGAACTGCATGGAAATCCGTGATGCTACTTCCTAGAAACTCCTCAGACCAAGACAACCTTCAGAAGTCAGTCATATTTAGTTTCAATTTCGTTTACATACTATCAGATTTTTGGATTCAGCCATACCCTCCGTTTCACCGACCTCGGATGCATTTTTCTATTTTGTATGCATACACATATGTACGTATGTATATGTGCTCTATGAACATTCAACCACGACGTTTATTGTGTTAAATGGATGGGTCTGTTTTAAGACAAACCCGTCAGAAATATCTGGCCCTTTAAAAATAGCCCCTCCTCGTCAGTATAAGCTATCAGTTCTCCTTTCATCATTTCGTGTAAATGCACAGAGCCAAAAACCTACGTAAATATACAAATCGCTTCTCTACTTAACTGCCTGTGTACACACATCACAGAAAACTCAAAGGATGAAAATATGTACGGCCGTTACGACCTTTAAAAATTCATCAATCCATTTCACTTTCACAAACCATATTACTCTGCAGTTAGCAATCCTTTACACGAACGGGCTAAACTTTACATGGCATTTTGGAATTTCATTTTCATTTGGGAAAGCAGTGACTTGGGGACAATAAATATTTCTATATACCAACTAATAGTGGGATTTACTAAGACCATCATTTTTTGTTCTCACCAGGGAAAGTTCTTTCTTCGAAGTATGCACGCACCTGTAGCTAAAGTAAAAAAAATCGAAGCTCACCTCGCTACTCGAGTAGGAAGCCTTCCTTCTGCGATTGGTAATGTTTTTCTTATTGTTGCTGTAATGTTGACTCTTTAAATTGGAGGATCGAGATGACCCATCCGACGGAGTGTCCGTTTCTCGATCTCGGTTCTTTCTCCGTCGATCCTTACGATCACTAAAAGTGGTGACAAAAAACATTAGTCAGAATTCATATGCAAATTAAAAAACACGGAAACAACACATTCAATACGTATCAATCACATATACTATATCTATCTAGTAATTATTCAGATGTCAGATTTGGGGTCACACTAATTCGCTGCTTCCGTACATGCCAATTTTCGCATCAGGTTAAATGGCAGACTTCAAATACCTCGGTCTCAACGACAAAGAGAGTCTTCGAAACCCTTCGGGTAGCAAAGGAAAGCTGAGGCATGAGCCAATCCCACAAAACAGGGATTTTGGATACTGTACGTCGTCTCCCGTGTCATGATGATGTTGATGTTCACTATCAGACTCTTTGATTTCGGATCCCATAATAATACTAATAGTCTATTCAAGTCCAGTGTGACACCTATTGATATTGTGCTATGAAGTCTTAGCACACGCTGCCAGGTTTTAAATAACAATACAGCAGGTAAGCTACTTTTCTGAACGATTGGGATAAACACACGGCAACAGAAATAAAGTAGGTTGACAAAACAACTTGAACACTGGTCCTTATCAGCAAAAGAATAGAAGACGAACATTATGCTACTATAATACTTGGTTTATAATAGTTGTGAGCGATCGTGGCTGGTCTACAAAACTTGGCTGTCGATGAATCAAATGTACTTTTTAATGCCTGTGTTGTGTTGTTAAATATTATTGTATTGATACAAATGAGACACAATTCACACAATCGCCTTTCGTGGCGTACTTATTAAATGTAGTTTATGTTTGGTTATATGTATTCGGTAGTGCTATATACTTTACCCTCGAGCCAACCACAATTTTGTCCATATCCTTCCTAAGCAGAGATATGAAATGGTCTAAAAAGTAAGTCATTTTAGTTCCATGCACTCATTCGGACAGAGGGAACATGGAATGAACTGAAATTTGTTGACACAAGCCAACTAATCGTTTGCAGTAATAAAAACTCATATATCTGTCAAAACACAATTATTATTGCACTTTGATGGACATGAATAATCATATTACAAAAAGGACTCTAATGAAATTCAGCTCAACAGTCATAAAAATAGTCTGGATCAACATAAGTATGAGAGTAATTAAACTGTTAATTAAAGTCCGGTGTATATGCCTAATTCTTCAGCTAGTGAGAAAAGTGTCTTCCTGAGGCATGCATAAGATCAAATTTCGGTAGTTCAATCTCATCCAATAGAATGTAAACATTATTGCTTTGCAGAGGTTAAGTATTCAGGAGGAAGAAATATGAGACGTACTAATAAAGAATTGGGGTCAAGAGCTACCGTCGACCGCCGTGTTAATTACAGAAAAAACTATTTCCAGACTTGTTTTTAAACATCTAGGAGACATTAAGCTCAGGAGGGTCGTTGTTCTTACATATCTTACAGTACGCCCGTTACATCAGTGTGTCATTTTGTCTTATGGTGTATTAAATATTAGATCATATTAAATTCTTCTAATGTTACAAAAAAAGTATGGGGAAAATACTCTGTTTAAAATTGTTATACATAAGTGAAATTAATCTTACTCGTAAATTGTGAGGACTCCCATGATGCTAAATGTGTAGATCACTCGAGACAAACAAGTGATAAGTCAATTGATAAGTCAATAAATTCACTTAGTTTCAATGCATTCAACTAGTAAATAGCTGAATGCAAACTCAATGGTTATGCAATGCTGAAAGATCAGAAGATGACTTAGATTCGCCAAAGGATTTGTCAACTGAACGTGTCCACACAACGGGAAAACCTGTAAAATATTGGAAAGTTTTGTAATTTGACATTTTTTTACAATGTCTACCATAAAAAAGTATTGCAATAAGCAGAAAGCACTCGTGTTAAGAGGGGAAAGGGTGGCATTCTAATCAGAATATTGCAAATTGACACATAGTCGGAAACAATATCACCAAGAAGAAAGCTGTCATTTCTGACGTCAAGACGTGCCGAAGAAAAGCTCTCCAGTAGGTATACGTCATTGGTCTTAAAATCATTTATAAGACCACATGAAAACTGAAATTTGTTTCAGGTGGTAGGGTGTAAATTGTAGTCTCTACCTTGATCTTTAAAATATTATTAGTATAAATCATAATGGTGAAGCTAAGCAGACACATCTTGGGCATATTTATACTGATATTTATTGGGACTATACGATGATGTCACCATTATAATGATGGTCAAGCCCAACCTCTTCTCTATCCGATGTGTTGATATGGCATAATAGGCAACGATCGGAACCACCTCAGTCTAATTAATCCATTGGCATTGATAGTACAAAACACCCACCAAGTTGTCATACAAAACGTGGCAGAGTGGGCTCATGACAAAGATCTTCAGCAAAGGTGAGAAGAAACAATTTGTCTTCTTCTTCTTCCTGCTGACTGCCTGAAATGTAGCCATATAATAACAATGCATTCGAAATGATGAAGGATTGCCGACTTTCAATCTTTGTTTTGTCACAGAGTTCTCTTCGCTTGCACAATTTCCGAAAGCAAGGCGTAGTTCATGGTTTATCCGTCCAATTGATTCCACAAACCAAAAGGCGAAATCCACGAACAGCCAAAAAGGAATTGCCATCACAGGAGGTGAGACAAGTTGGACAAAAATAGAAGCCGACAACGAATTAAATGGGAAAATCGACTGTGTGACCACTTATATTCTTGGCTTTCTTTAATTCCTAAGGTCAATGCTAAAGCTCAATCAAGTCATCATTAATCTTAGCGACTGTAGTCTAAGCAAATTAACTTATTCTATTTGTACAACTTCTATGATGAAACTCGGTTTTCCTAGGCATATTACTTTCCCTCTATTGTTGGAGTACCATTGCACAAACATTATTTATATTCTGAAGTAGGGGAAATTTACCAAATTAAGTAAATTGCATGTCTACCCTTCTTTGCAATAAATTGGTTGCGATTTAGATTTAATCAAGACTACATACATAGAATACAGTTGGAGATCAAGCATAGTTATCTTGTAGAAAATCCAGTCAACCTTGTGTGCAACTAGAAATTGGCAGGTGTAAGTGCAAACCGATGTTAAAGTCATTTTATGTATATCCACCCGAACCATTTATGCCCCATATAAATATGTACGTTGAGCAAGTTATATATTTTTTTATATATTTAGAACCTCTAGGCCTGATAAAAGACGATCGAATACATAAGAGAAATCACTGGGATTCGCTCGCTAGCCAGAAACCCACTGACAATAAGTGAATTAACGAATTAACAGACCTTCAACTGCCCTTTATTCTGCATTGTGATATGAATGCATGTCTAGCAATCTGACCTTCGGTCTACTTATCGAAATGCAACTTGGAGATGCAACCACAAGAAAGGCCTGGATTCTCCATAATTCAGTTTGATAACAATACAAAAAAGCAATAAACTAAGAATAGCATGCAGGCAACGCTGATTGATGGCTTCAGTTCAATCCAAGTTGCATCCTTCGTTGTTTATTACGAGGGAGACACAAGGCCGGCAGCAGAGGCAAACTGTCCATTATCTCATCATCACAATATTTATGTATTGTTACTTTATTCAAGTCATGCATGCTCTTCTTTTATCATAGAAGCAATAGTAGCAATATCACAGAAAAATAACATTGGGGCCAAATGAAATGCAAATGCACAAAAATTTCACAAGTATGATGTCAAGTCATAATGTTGCTGATTCCTCTAACTCGGCGAGTGTACATACTTAATTCGGGACTGACCCACAATTCCAATCTCAGCGACTGCCTCCCGAAATACAAAACGAGAACGGGACAAATTGACTTGTGTATTGTTATCGGTGAGTCAGAAAAACTCGGTGTGAAAATAATCCGGTTTCTAATGTCCTTGCTGAGCTTGTCAATTTGTCTCAAAATATTCCGGGGCAAAGGGTACTCTGGACACCCCGGACCTTTGTTAGATAATGCTACAAAATCGAAAGACATTGGACGAATTGTTATTTGCGATAACGCAATCCTATTTACAAACTTGATCAATACATCAATATTGATATATTAGCAGAGCATATTTTCACAAATGTGTAGCTTCACTTGAATAACGTTAGTCCTGACTGATGGGTATATACATTGCCATGAAAAGGAATACAAACTACTGAGCAGATCATGCATTTTGTATTGAAGTTATGTAATTGTGACAAAAGAATAAAATTCAAGTTTTTGGCGAATCAAATGTCTTGTTTGCAGTTGATAACAATGGGGATGGATGAGTGCATGCTGCTAAGGCATCGCTGAGAAGGAAGAATAAAACCTTGCCACTTACTTATTATGACATGCCAAGAAGACGTTGGCAAATTGAAAAGGTTACAAAACAAGAAATATAGCAAAATATGCAATGATCAGCCATGCATACAAATACTTTTGTATTCCTGTGAAACTCGTCTGCTCCCAAAGCCACGGTCATAGATTGCAATAATGCATACACCTATTTTTCTAACTTTGTGGTTTTCCGTTATTTTCCACCTAATCGTAAGAGTACAAATGACTTACTAAAAATATTCTTTTAATTCAAATCCACACACAAACACGGATCCTTCATGCACTCCGACCTAGACAAGTCGTCGTCGTCGTCTTCACTATTTAATGGCATAATGATGCCCTTACGGTAAGACCTTATTACATCAAGTATGTACATGACTAGTTAAATGCCAACATTAAAATACTACATAATTATTATAAATTCCACACTGATGTGTAGCACCACTCCAAGTGTTCCGCTTGGTCTATTCCATTCATTCATTGACATCCACCCACGAATTCACAACTCCAATCTTTTAAATCGAAGAATAACATCTGCTGCTAATCGTTTCCTGCATAAATTGCGCTGTCCTAGAATAAATTCAGTGTAATTCGTGTTTGTGTCTACTTAAAAATGTGTCAAGTTCCATACACTTACTTTCTGCCCTGATTTCCTTAACTTTGTGTCTATCTATGGCTTAAGCTCTCATTTTGTGTTTGCCTATTTATTCAGGCACATTTTCCCTTGTTTCGATGAAACTTTCGGGTGAAGATGTAAGTCTAAAATTTACACGTTTACATGTTGTCTGGCTACCAACCGAAGCCGTAAAACAGTTCGCAGGGTATAGTTGAAGCTGACCATAAAGTGCAAAAGGTCAGTTGAGCTTGCAAAATGGTGGAATACTTCTCACAACGCCGACTACCTTGGGCAAAGGCGAATACGAAAGAAATTGGGGCGACGGACGGAAGTCGAACAATGCAAAGAACCAAAGACTCAATCCAATCCCGCGGACCAAAACTATTTCCTGCTTCAAATGAGCCTTACTAAACATCAAGGTGTTAATTTTTTTATTCAATTTGATCGCTTATACGAAGCAGGGAAGAAGAAACCGCTTTTGAATAAACACGCGATTGAATAAAAAATATGTTATTAATTTAGTAAGACACATACAGACACGTTTTCTTTCCTCGTTCTGTTCAAGTGTAAACCAATTAATCATTTCCGTGCATACATCGTTATCGTATTATTTATATTTAGTAGCTGAATATGTGTGGTCATTTACTCTGTACTTTAAAAGGTATTCAACACCAGCTTGCGACGCTGTTCTTGTTTCTCATTCTCTAAAAGTTATCTCAGTCTCATCAAATTAATGTCGCATGTCAACCAGGACAATTCTACCTGTCATATCAAACCAAAATGAATGCCACTTCCCCATGTCCATCCAAGATTGGTCATTCTCTGTACAGTCAAGTTCGTCGGGAGTGTCATGTGTTCAATCAAACGGGCAACTAAAAACTACATATTTCACACTTGGCTTGACAATGAAAAATTCAAGTGAAACATTATACTCGCACTGAAGTTAAATACATCAGATACACCCATTTTCAATACTGACTAATAATAATTGTGGTTCTTCATTACATACTTCAGTCACATATTAAGTGCCGATTAATTACTCACAATTCTGGTTAAGTAAATTCATATTTATGTATATGTACAGTACAATGAGGGTATTCATTACGAGTTCGCATGTTCGCATCGCAACGTAACTTTTTCGAAATTGCTAATTTTGCGAAGCAACGAAGTGAAGACACTTCGCAAACAAATTCGCAAAAGTTGGTATTTGCAAAAAATACAAATTCTAGATTTTTTTGGAATAGTAATTTTTCTGCAATTCTGATTTTTATGTAAGTAGTTCGATATGCCTAAAATATCTCAGAAGCGTCGTTATATTAATGATTTGTGCCAAATCGCTTCAACCGAACTGATTTGGAGCACAAATTCGAACACAAGATATGGATGGCAGGAATTCGACGATATCGTAGATGAAATTTTGCTCACAGAGGCCATTCGGTACATTGTTCCACGAAATCCTGTCCCCAAATCCGACCAGTGGTATCGTAACGTTCTCCCAGATTATAACGACGACCTATTTCGAAAATTTCTGAGAGTCTCAAGATTAAACTTTGGACGGATTCTCTTAATGATTCAAGATCATCATGTCTTCCGATCAAACAGCAGCAAAAAACAAACGCCAGTCGATAAACAACTCGCTATTACACTCTATAAGCTCGGAAATGATGGGTCATCTAACTCTATTCATAACGTGGCTGCAGTTTTTGGGATTGGAGGAGGTGGTTCAGTGATGCTCATAATTGAACGAGTATTAAAAGTAAATTAACCAATTAATTGCGAATAATTTAAAATACTTAGTTTAATTGTATAGTGGTATGGTATATGTGGCAGGCGATTCTTAGTCTGGAGCATGATTATATTCGATGGCCTGATGAGAATGAACGAGCAAATATAGAATTATTTATGGGCGACAAGTTACCAAAATGTATCGGCTACATCGACGGCTCTCATATCCCTCTAGATGAAGCTCCGTTGGATGACCCAGAGTCATATTTCACAAGAAAGCAGCGGTACGCAATACATTTGCAGGCGGTTTGTGACAATGATCGTATTATCAGAAATATATTTATTGGATATCCTGGCTCGGTTCATGATGCACGAGTATATTCCAACTCAGAAATTGGGATTAGACCCGAAAGTTTTCTAACTAATGGGCAATGGATTGCTGGGGACTCTCCCTATGCTGTTAGTGACTTCATGATCACACCTTTCCGGAATAATGCTACTGCCGGCACAGCAAGCCAAAGAAGAGCATTTAACAAATATTTCTCAAAATATCGGGTCAACATTGAATGCGTATTTGGAATAATGAAGGAAACTTTTGGAAGCTTAAAGGGATTGGGGATACGCGTGGATAAGCAACGTGGACACAAATTAGCATGCGACTGGATAATGGCATGCTGCATTCTGTATAATATTATCAAGCCCACACTTCCAGCAATAATTCTTGAAGATTTGGGGGAGGAAGATCACGAAATGCCGGAGGCAACGAGAGGAAATGACAGAAAAAGAATTGGATTATTTAATTTTATAACCGGAAAGTTGGCATTACAATAAATGTTTTTGTAACCTTAATTCACCTTAATTACCTAAGATGTACATGTACAAAACTTGACAAGAACTAATTTTTACACGTATTACGCGGAAAATAGGTTTTAATTAGAGTTGATTATTTAGTTTGTACTTTAGATAACTCTAATTTTAACTTAAACTCCTGCTCTATCTTATACTTTTGAAGCTCGAAATCTTTATTAATGCGTTGTTGCTCTAAGTCCAACTTTCGTTCTTCGATTTCACGATCTTGTTCCATCTTTTTGACTTCTAAATCGTACCGCTCATCGTTTCTTATCTTCTCGTACTGCCATTTCTCCTTCTCTAGTGCCAATTGTTCTTTTTGTAATTCGATCCTGATTTCGACACATCTTTCCAGCATGGATGATCCAGTTTGTGGGGCCAACTTCCGCTTTCTTACCAATTTTGATTGTTGCGTCTCTTCTACAGTCACTGAATGCTCGCTACTTTCGGGGACGCTAGTCTCCTCACTGAAAATGGTGCTGTTCAATGTCCAGTCTGGTGTATTCAAAGTAATTATAACATGATCTTCATCTCCGATTTTCGACGAATCGTGTAGGTAGGGAGGAGCAATGTTAAGTTTATTTCCAAAAATCTCGTCCAGTTTTTCGAAGTGGGGACAGCGTTTTAGCAAAGTTTCTGAGAATTAATTGAATTATATTCTATAATTGCTCTCCACGTTAATTTATATACATGTTTATGGTTTTACCTTTGAAAGAAGATTCCCCTTGATCTTCTAAGACCCCTTGCCCTGTCTGATTGCGCCACTGAACCGTCTCTCCATGCTTTCTCTTAAGATTTTTCACTTGATTTTTTAATTGGTTGTGGTTACAATGTTCAAACGCGAGAATTTCTACTCCACGTTTGTAAAATGCTACTGCGTTTGGCTTCTCTATCTCTTTTCCAACAGAAACAATTGAGATTAGGTTACCTAACAGCTTTTCAATCTCGGTAGGAGTCCACTTCCGGCGCTCCTTGACGTTGTCTACATTCGTGTTCTCAACCTCTTCTACCAATGTATCGTCCAAAATTGATGCTTCTTCCTGTTTCCTTTTTTTAGCGACTTTCGATGACATTTTGCACTCAAATCACAAAAAAGATTGTACCACGAAAATTTCTGAAAAAGTATTTTGCGAACTAAATACTAGCCCTGGAGATGCGCAAGTTCGCAAATAAATTTTCAAGCCAAAAGTTTTTGCGAACTTGCGAACTTTGTTTTGTTGCTAACGTTGCGAAGGATGCGAACTCGTAATGAATACCCTCAATAAAAAATTCTAATCAGATCAATCATGCATCAAGGGTGAAACCACGAGATTATTGGTAATTAGTGGTTGACAATGGAATCTGAAGGGATTTTAATAGATATTTCTAACAAGCCACACTTTCCTGTCCACAAGAATATAGATACTTCTAAATTACTATCGAGTGGTTACCTATTTCCGTCCTTATATTGATTTGATCATGCATAAATAGACGAAATTCGGTATCCAAACTCATTATTCTCTTTACAAAGTTGTCCATTTTACTAACACAGCACTGGTAAAACGTACCAATGGCTAAGCTAGCTTTTGTAACAATTTTTGTGTGTTGCATGGTCATAATTTGCATGATGCAGCCTGAGGTAACATTTATTTGAACTATTATCGCGCTACCATTTCATTTGACAAGCAATCACTAAAATGCATATTATTTAAGCAGGTGTCGGCGGTGCAGCAATGTTGGGGACGAGGACAAGGTTGTCGGCTAGGACCGTGTTCGAGGAACGGCCCTTGGCCCTGCTGCTGTTCTGGATATTGTGCACCTGACAGATATTACAAATCAGGGTGGGGATTCTGTACTTGACCAGATTCACGCTCCAGCAATAACTGCAAACTTTATTTCGAAATGTACATTTACAACGGTTAGATAAAAATCAACCAAAAACGGCATTAAATTTCACATGTATATGTAACTAACTGGTTTGATTTACACGATACTAGTAGCTATCAATCACTCATATAAGTCTGATAATGTTGAGTCTCATGAATACTGATTTTACAAAGTTTTTGGATTCCATACTTGCTTCGCCAGGTTCAAATTATTCATTTTAAATAACAAATTTTACCATTCTTCTTTGGCATCCTAAGTAATTTCATAAGGATCAATCATCTCAATCCATAGATTCATACAAATTCGCCGCACATTATCAATGATGTTGATATTAAACCAACGCAAGGAATAAGACAACGCGGAAGCCTTACCACTACCTTTAGTAATACATACATCCTAATTTCAATAAATCTCCCATATACACAACAAAAGCATCATCATCTCAGGCATAGGATGAACACCAGTATTTTCGTTGGATTCACGCATCCCAATCCCACTCTCAATCTATCTCAAAACTCGAGATGAGATTCACAACCCAAGCAGAAAGCGATGAGTCAAAGGAACGATATCAGAATGGAAGAGGTGAGGGAACAACCTTGATCTGGACGTAAAAGGAAACGCAAACCGTCGTTGCTCGTCGAGTATACAAAAATTCATACACAAACACAAGAAGTGATAAGAGGACAAAATGTGCAGTGTAATGTAAGGAATTTTACACACTGATGATGAGAGCATTTAACACATGCAATATTTTAGTGAACATGGAATACCAATACAAGAGCACAAAATGTAGAGTATCCTCTTTTTGATCGTATGACAATTGCAAAAAATCATTTTTTCTTCTGTAAACTCATTTACCTATGTATGATTATGTATTCATCACCACCACCATCTCCACAACTCTGTTTACTATGCACACAGAGTACAACAACTCCGTTTCTGGAAGTGCAAAACTCGTTGTTTCATTTTTTGCTCAGATTGCTACAAAAGAGACCAAGAGATAGCGTCATAAATTGCATATTAACGTCACCCAACCAAGTATCTGTTGATTGGCATACAAGAAAAACTCACACCATTCCAGGAAACAATTCGCACGTTATTTGATTTGAATAAGAATCAAAGAATTGGAAATTTGTATCATTTTCCTACAAAGACTGCACACTTTTAATTGACACATAGCTCTAGACCTATACATGGCAATTCTCAGCGTGAGCTAACAAATCAACCCTAATAATTCGGTACGACTCATTTGGTTAACACAATTACTGGTTTCTTATCTCAATTTGCAAATACAAACAATGAGCAATTTTTATTCAAATGCTTGACACGTCTCAGTTAAGAAATCTTAAACTTTGCTGGAAAACTAAGAATAAAATTGGGAGGAGTCGATATCATGTTTGACCAACACCATACAACTTTGCCTACTGCCGTGGTGTCCACAAACTTGTAATATGCAAATGAAACCAATTAATCATTTTTCAAATGTCCAAGCCAAATACGTGCAATCAATTTAGATCCATTTGTAATCAACCGTCAGAATAAAAAAAACGATAATGATCCTCCTGTGCCTTGAGTTCCTGTATGAAATTCTGTCTGTTTGGTTGATTGCAGAATACTCGACAGAATTCAAGTTCAAGGTTTATTAGTACCTGCACCATTAAACATGGATCTTGTTAACAACTCTTTGTTTTGATATTTCACTCAAGACGACAATTGCATTGTCCTACAAATTGATCTAAATACTGCAAAAAGTAGACAAGCATATTAGAGATGATGGAAAACAAACAAAAGTTTTAGTGCAGTGTTCACTAAAACCAATGTCTAATTACTTATTGACGTATTATTGACACGTTAAACGTACTTCCCTGGCAGGAGGAGATGCTGCATTAGTTTATAGAATTAGAATAGGACAGTGTAGTTAGTTTTTCACGCATATAGTCACCAATTCGCCCAAATGTTCGGTTTCGGTATCATCAGTAGCCATTTGTGTTACGAGATTAAAAGTAGCAAAAGTAGGACATGCATTTGAGAGCGAATAGTCCTGAATTCAAGGATTGAATGGTTGGTGTTTAATGAAATGTAACAACATTTTAGCATTAGCACTTAGTTCCTTAGTCATTTCGCTCCAGTAAGCACGAATCAACCCATTCTTCGTACTTCTCTGCAGGTTATCAAACCATTATTACACTGCGCAGAGTGACGAGTGGGATACCTAGTAATGTGCATAATATGCAGACTTTCATCTCATGGTGTGGCAAAAACTCCACGTTAAAATCCTTGCCATCCAAATAACTCTAACGACAATATATGTATTCAGCTATTAAGGAATTCCTACTGCTTCTGGACAATTCCGGACTGCGGTGCCCATCCATTAGTAGATTAGCCTAATAAAATCGTTTTTTATTTATTTTCTTGTTCGAGTCCTGTCGCCACCAGGCCACAACTGGGCTAAACCATCATAAAAATCCACATCTTGTTCGCATAACATTATTTCTAGTAGTGCCAGTACCACCGAGGATGAATGATGCGATCGTTTATCAAATTGGGCATGTAATATTGAATATTTTAACATTCTGTAACAAGGATGAAACCATTAAAAAGTGTGTAGCTTGTAATAAAACACCAACACCCCAACACCAAAAACGGTAACCTTTATCACAAGTTATCAGATTGAAAAAAGTTATTAACTGACTAACGGAATGCAACGTATCTCGTAGTAAAAGGAAGAGGAGAGAACACGACATCTGTTTACTATTCTATTGTCCATCCAAAATAAAAATTCTATCGATTTGCATGCAAGCGTATGTATGTAAAAATATATTAATATGTAGCTGCGAGGTGTTTGCAAACTACGGGAGTTGAAGAAATGACCGATAATAATTGGATAACCCAGTTCCCAACAACGTGTTGATGGGTAGTCATTTATTTGTTACACATTCATGCTGAATAAAATTATGCGCCTGCAATGCAGTGGAACCCGTTGCAAGCTAAATATAAATATATGCATACTCGTACATACGTACATACATACATTATCCACCAGCACTACAATTCGTTTTGTTAGAATTGTTGGGAAGAAAGTGAAGGAACACTGCATAACAAAAACTGACAGCAATAAATAATCAGGACCTTTTCAAAGAATATTATTCGTCTGACATCAGCCCTGATTGCTTAAAACTGTAATTTTATGCATTGTTCGTAAATAACAATTTGCAAATCAATCTAGAGAGTCTGGAATATGACAGAAAATCAGACTTTGTGCATTACACAAGACAAGATAGGTAGATGGGCAGTGGGTTTATGCAAGTAACATCAGCATAGGTATTTGATGACACCCAATATAGCAACTAACAACTCCTGCTTTCACGTTTCTCCATGCATTAGCAGTAATACTTGCCTGGTGTTATTTTCTCTCATAATTTATAAGTAACAAAACATGAAACAAATTTCACTTTCACACGCCATCCCAAATCGCTATTCTTGGATCGTGATAAAATCGTCTTATACAGCAAACTGATGACTGACGCATCAACGAATAGGAGACAAACAACTTGTAGTATAGTCTGGCTGAAATACAGATATTCATATTCATTGAACTTCATTTCATGTGCTCTGTTAAAACATCAAAAAATATGGAGATAAGTCAATCCGGTGATGTAAAATCAGGAAAAATGCGAAACATTTGCAGACATGGATCGTGTTTTTGCTTGGTGTACGACTCGTATTAACCACTTCGCCCCTATAACGACTATGTGGCGTATTTGACCTTTACACCGAATACGACCATGTGGCGTAAGTTCCCTTGGCACCGGAATACGACGATGTGTCGTATTGACCCTTGACAACGGATACGACTATGTGGCGTATTTTCCGTTCACACCGGCCTACGACTATGTGTCGTATCCGGAAAAAAATTAGGTCATTGCCTCTCCAAGCAAAGCAAAGCAAGAGTTATGAGTCAACAACCCGCCCTTTAGGCGGGAAGATAAATTGTCTCTTAGGAAATAATATTAGAAATGGATGCAAAATAAATTTATAGCCAAGTGGCTATATCTAGCCAAGACGCCGAGTTGTGAAAACTGTTTTTTGCAAGGAAATTTCGACACCGATTTATTTCAACAACGCTTTACGATAAGATTAGAGAAATTGTTTTGCTCGCATGTAGCCAGGGTCCTTTGACTGTTTCCTTGGAGGATTTCTAGACAAATGTCTAGAAATCCTCCAAGGAAACAGTCAAAGGACCCTGCATGTAGCACAAATGGGCGTTTTGGGCGAGAAAACTAAAAGTTTGATGAATTGCATCATTGCATGGATTTAATTATATACCACAAATAATCTTGCCGGTAGGGTAAACTACGTCAAAATTAATGATTACGTACCGGGTGCCGCTGAAATATCTTTTGGGCGGGAAAATTAAAAATTGAGAGATTGCCAGGAATTAGTAGAATTTAATTTTCCCGCTTAAAATTGATTTCTATTCACCAGATGCGCCATAGTCTATGTTCGAGCAATTTCCTCTCACGGGATAATTATTCATTGTCATTGCTGTCTATTTAAAGTCATTGTAAGGATTTTTGGTTTTCCCGCCCAAAATCGGCTCCTAAGGCGCTTTAGGCGCTATAATCAATATTTGCGAGTTTACGTACTATTATGCAAGTATTACTCTATGCTTGTTTAACTTTTCATGCAATTACAATCATTTTTAAAATTCGGCGTGTTGGCTATTTTCGGCTATAAACATTGGTGGTTCGCCACAACTCAAAAATGCAAACTACAACTCAAAATACCTTCTTGAAAGGTTATTCATACCAATTTTCACAAAAAAGTGTCCAGAATAATTCCGGTGGGAACACCATTTTTTAATTCATGGCCCAGGAATTAACGTCATGCAGTAGATAAAAATTTCGGGGTCAAGGGAGGTAAAAATTCGCGGTTACTAGGGGTGAAAGGTATGAAAAAACTCGTCTCCTAGGGTTGAAGTGGTTAAATAATATTTACTAAATATTCGTCGTAAAGAGATAAGAAAAAAATTCACTAGCAACTGTCAAAGCAGAAACTACTACACAAATCATCAACTATGTATCAATTTTTAGAGGCTACTTATTAGAAAACCTACACAGTATATTATTGAGTCGTTGATTGTAATGTATGCAATTTGACACGATATACTTCTTATTGGCGTCTCCATGCTGGATGTGATATCATCACCAGCACAAGACTATTGTAAGCCCGCTTTTTGTGGTAATGTGCAGAAAGCCTTACCTAATTTGTACATGTATCAATTTCAGCACATCGCATCACCTGCCTTCACCCTTATAGACTATCTTTGCTACCTAATTTTACGTCGTGAGCATTGTATAAAACTATGGTATAGTTTTTTCTCAGCTTTTCCTTACCATTCATCAAAAACGACGGAAAATACCAAATGAGAATTAAGTTAAAGCATAAATGTTACCATAAA